CGGTGAGACGGCGGGTGGTAAAAGTGCCAGTCGGACGCGTCAAGGGGAAAACCGAGGAAGACGCAGGGAAGGGTGCGGGCAGTGAGCTTGTCCGTGCCGGAAGCACGGACGTGAGCAAGGCAGCCCAAGACGTGGAACGCAGACGCGTCACCAGGAGACCCAGTCCAAAGACGGGTCGGCGAAACCTGCGGCTGCTGAGGGTGCGGCCACAGGTTAAGCTGGTGAGAAGCGTAGCGCACAGCGAACGGCCACAGAAAATGGGGTGCACCGGCATGGATCATGGAGGTGCGAGCGACCTCCATGACCAAACCGATGCGTCGCTCAGCGACCCCATTCTGCTGTGGGGAGTCCGGTAGGGTGAACGTCTGGGTGATGCCCTCCGCACGACAAAAACGACCAAGGACACCGGAGGCAAACTCGCCACCACGGTCTGAGTGAAGATGCAAGACAGGGAGACCGCGGTGGACACGCGTAGAGACAAGCCAGGGGATGAGGGCGCCAGGCACGTCGGCCTTGCGCTCCAGGGGAAAGACTGTGGTGTAACGAGTGAAGTCGTCGACAAGCACAAGGAAGTAGCGCTCTCGACGCGGCCCAGGGACGGGGGCGGGGCCCCAGACGTCCAGGTGCAGGGTCTGCAGCGGCGCGGCGGTAGGGGGAAACGAGGAGGAGTGAGGGGCACGGCGAAGCCGACCCTCGACACAAGGCGTGCAAGGTGGGGCTGGAGAGGAGGGAAACGCGGGGAGAGAACTTGGGAGACCAAGGACGAGACCGTGCTGGGACATGTGACGCAGACGCGGGAGCGCAGGGTGACCTAGGCGGTGGTGCCACAGGAGGGTCGGGTGAGTGAGGGAGCGACAGGAGCAGGCAGCAACAACCTGGGTAGACGCAGCCACCTGAGGGGGCGCTCCAGCCGGGGGGGTCGCGGTGTCCAGAGTGAACAGGCCGGACACCGGGTCCCGGGGGAACGTGGATAGGGGGGCACCAGTGGCGGCCTCGGTACAGACAGCATACCGCTCGTGGCCAGGGAACGTAGTGGTGACGCCAAGGTCCTGGAGGCAGCCGACACCAACTAGGTTCCTGGAGAACGAGGGGATATGCAGACCTGTAAGAGAACCCGAAGGAACCGCCGGACAGGGAAGGGTGGTGGAACTGCGGGCGACTACCGGACCGCCGGAGGGGTCAGCAAGAGAAACGGCAGCAGGAACAGGAAGCGGCATCAGGGTGGTGGAGTCGCGGAAGAAACACCGAGAGGCGCCAGAGTCCAGGGTGAAGGACAGCGAAGCCGAGGGGTCTGGCGACGGAACGACGGCGGAAGCACCAAGACTACACAAAGCAGGGGATCCTACGCCTGACGCAGCAGGGGAGGCTAAGCTAGGCACACCTACACTAGGCAACAGTGAGTAATAAGCGGGAAGCACACTAGAGTCATCAGCATACATCACATGCAGAGCGGAAACAATGGCATCCATGTCCATATCAAAAATCTGAATCTGACGACTAAGCAAACTGTGACGGGCCGAAGCGCTGACGAAAGAGGTCGTCCAGGCGACGAAAACAGCGGGGAGTGGAGTGACCGATCTTACCGCAAACGAAGCCGCGGCGAGGACCGGTCTGGATCTGGTACTGACAACGCCCGCCGCCAGAGCCACCACGCGGCACACCACCACGCGCCCGGCCACCGCCAGCGCCGGGCCACCCTGGCGGGAGGACACTCGTCTGCCGCGTCTGCGACGGCTGCTGCGAAGGCTGCGACTGCGGCGGCTGCTGCGGCTGCTGCACCTGCAGGGGCGGCGACTCAGCTGAACTGGGCAGGGTCCCCTCGTCCACTCCAGCACCAGACGACCTGACCCCACCACTACCCCCGCCCGCACCCCCGCCGCCTCCTCCGCCGCGCCCAGCCTTGGGGCGGCGGCCCTTCCCCGAACGGACCTGCGCTGCAGCAGCAGTCTCAGCCACTGCGGCAGAGCCGTCGGAGAAGGTGCACTGAGCGGGGGCACAACCCTGAAAGATAGGGACCGGCACGACACCGCTCGCCTGGGCGATGGAGCGGTGACGGGTCTCTATCACAGTCAGGGTGTCTACAAAGTCAGTGAGGGTGAGGTCTGCGGGGTGAACGCTAAGAAAGCGGTCGCGGGCGACAGCAAGGCGGTCAGGGAGGCGGGTGGCAAGCAGATAGAGGGTAGAGGTAATGGGCGGCTGGTGGGCTCTAAGCTGGGCGTCAGTGCAGGCAGCGCGCCAGGTCTCATCTATCGAGCGCAGGTGGGCAGCGAGGTCAGAGACAGTGGGGAAAGATGCAAGGTCAGGAAAGAGCATCGGAAGGTTCAGGCGACCCACCGAGGCAGCCGGAGGGGTGGAATAGCGCTTGATCACAGCATCTAAGTATGCCTGAGCAGTAGTGAGAGACCTAAAGCGAGGACGCTCGGATGGGGGAAGGGCGTTGCTAATGGCAAGCTGGGCAACAGCATCGCGAGAAAGCCAGACAGAGCGCGCACGGGCAGTGGCAGCAGTAGACTCACGCTCAGTGGGTGTGGGGTCAGCGGGCAGGATAGCAGGGGGGTCTGGGCAGGGGAGCGTACCGTCAAGGTGTGCGGAAAGCGGTTCACCATCCTGCCGCTGACCAGTGAGTTGGCGGCGGAGGTCGGCAAGCCACGCCTCGAACTCTAGGGGCTGACCTTCAGCGTCGAAACGAAGCTCCGCCGCCATCAGGAACAGTCCAGTGCGGTGCAGGGTAGTGCAGTGCGGTGCAGTGCGGTGCAGTGCGGTGCAGTGCGGTGCAGTGCGGTACAGTGCGGTGCAGTGCGGTGCAATGCGGTGCAGTGCGGTACAGTGCGGTGCAGTGCGGTGCAGTGCGGTGTAGTGCGGTGTAGTGCGGTGCCAGGCAGTACAGTGTGGTGCGGGGCGGCACGGAGCTGGGCGGGGTGGGGGGGGGGAACCGTACCAGTGCGGAGGACGGGGCCGGGGTTGGCCCGACGGGGCCGGGCGGGCGCGACGGGACCGGGCTGGTGTGACAGGGCCGGGACGGGGCGACGGGGCCGAGCGGGCGCGACGGGGCCGGGCTGGGGCGACGGGGCCGGGCGAGTGCGGCAGGGCCGGGCCGGTGCGACGGGGCCGGGCGAGCGGGACGGCGGCCGGGCGGGTGCGACGGGGCCGGGCGGCTGCGACGGGGCCGGGCAGGATGCGACGGGGCCGGGCAGGTGCGACGGGGCCGGACGGCTGCGATAGGGCCAGGCAAGGGCGACGGGGCCAGGCGGCTGCGACGGGGCCGGGCGGGCGCGACGGGGCCCGGCGGCTGCGACGGGGCCGGGCGGGCGCGACGGGGCCGGGCGGGTGCGACGGCGCCGGGCGGGCGCGACGGGGCCGGACGGCTGCGACGGGGTCGGGCAGGGTGCGACGGGGCCCAGGAGGGGCGCTACAGGGCCCAGGGAGGGCGCGACGGGGCCCAGTAGGGGCGCTACGGAGCCACGGAGGGGCGCGACGGGGCCTGGGAGGGGCGCGACGGGGCCAAGGAGGGGCGCGACAGAGCCCAGGAGGGGCGCTACGGGGCCTGGGAGGAGCGCGACGGGGCCCAGGAGGGGCGCTAGGGGGCCTGGGAGGAGCGCGACGGGGCCTGGGAGGGGCGCGACGGGGCCTGGGAGGGGCGTTACAAGGTCCAGGAGGGGCGCTACGAAGCCCAGGAGGGGTGCGACGAGGCCCAGGAGGGGCGCTACGGGGCCCAGGAGGGGCGCGACGGGGCGCTACGGGGCCTGGGAGGAGCGCGACGGGGCCCAGGAGGGGCGCTAGGGGGCCTGGGAGGATCGCGACGGGGCCTGGGAGGGGCGCGACGGGGCCTGGGAGGGGCGTTACAGGGCCGAGGAGGGGCGCTACAAAGCCCAGGAGGGGCGCGACGAGGCCCAGGAGGGGCGCTACGGGGCCCAGGAGGGGCGCGACGGGGCGCTACGGGACCTGAGAGGAGGGCGACGGGGCCCAGGAGGGGCGCTAGTGGGCCTGGGAGGAGCGCGACGGGGCCTGGGAGGGGCGCGACGGGGCCTGGGAGGGGCGCTACGAAGCCCAGGAGGGGCGCGACGAGGCCCAGGAGGGGCGCTACGGGGCCCAGGAGGGGCGCGACGGGGCGCTACGGGGCCTGGGAGGAGCGCGACGGGGCCCAGGAGGGGCGCTAGGGGGCCTGGGAGGAGCGCGACGAGGCCTGGGAGGAGCGTGACGGGGCCCAGGAGGGGCGCTAGGGGGCATGAGCGGAAGCGGTAGGTGGGGGGGGGGGGATCCTACCTACGCGTGATACCATATCAGAATTGGAATTGAATAATGGTAAAGATGAGAGTACACACAAATATACCTAAGTGTTGTACCCTCTAAGCGGTAACCCTATACAGTCTATACAAACATAACAAATACAGATGTTTGACATCCGGTGCCAACACAGCTGATATCTTTACGAAGGCGTTTGCGCCTAAAGATCATCAGCGGCACTGTGTCCAGCTTGGTCTTGTTCCTGTAGCTTCTCACTTGTTAGGACCCTGACTTGTGTACTCCTCAGTATACATATACATGTCTGACTAGCCTTATGGCTTTACTCCCAGTGGCTGGACTAGTAGTGTCGCTCTGGTTTGCTTTTGTCTTGTCTATACTCTTGCTGACTGGTCTTTGGACCCCTGCCTCAGTGGTTGGACTAGCAATGCCTCCCTGAGCTGTGTGCTTCTTGCTTGCACCACCCCTTCTCTAGCCTAGGGGGTGTGTCAATTTATACATGTCATGTATGTAGAAGTTATAGGCTAGTATCGGTGTGTGCTCGTAGGGAGTACAACCCCATAGCTATATGTTCCTTGTTTCACCTTCTAGTTATCATTCTCGTACCGGTATGTTAACAGCAAGCAGGTAGAGGGTAGAGCAAAGGGGCGGCTGAAAGGCTCTAAGCTGGGTCTTAGTGCAGGCAGCGCGCCAAGTCGCGTATATCGTGCGGAGGTGAGCAGCGAGGTCAGCGACAGTAGGGAAAGACAGAACAAGCCTTCATACTTGGTATAAAAGTGCTGAACAATAAATCTAATAAACAACTAGATTGTGCACTATACTTATGCACGGTATAAGTTATGCCTTCAAAATTCCACCGCAGCATCCCTAGATTTCACTTCGATGCCCATCACAACAACACAACGATGGCGAAGATAGCGACCGCCACAGAAGGAACCAGCTGTGGTAAGCTCAGCGCAGAGACACCCGGCGCACCGCTCTTTGGGGGCGGAGGGGAGGGAGCAACTGGTGGAGGGGGGAAAGGCTGGACCGGCGGCGGGGCGGGGGACGAGCTCGGAGCTGACGCGGGCGCGGGGGTAGCGGACTCCAATTCCGCGAGTAACCGCCCGCTGCTGTCCGTCGCGGCGACAATAGAGAGATCACCGGCGGCAAGCGAGAGCGCTTCGTCGAGGAAAGGCGGCACGAGCAGCGCGTTGATGGTGTGAACCACGACCGTGCCCGCCGTGCCGCTCCCGCCGACCTCCAAGCCGCTTCTTTGTGCAAACTCCGCGTCCGCGCCTTCCCTCGACAGGGGCCCTTCGCCGAGGAGATCCAGGGAGAGCGTGAGCGCGCGGTACTGCTTCACGGTGGTTCCGCCCACCTGGAACGCGAGCGAGTCCACGTGGAGCGCGATCGGCGCGCCCTGCAGCGTCGTTTGCGCGCCCTCCCAGGCGAACGCGGAGACCGGCCGCGCGACCACGTGGAACAGCAGCACGTCGCGGAGCAGCGCGCCGTTGCGCGGAAGCTTGAGGAACGCGAGGAGCGCGGGGTCCGCGCGCATGAGCGCGTCGTTGGTCGGCGCGAACACGGTCATGGTGGAGCCGGTCCGCGCGCGCAGCTCGAGCTCCGGCATCAGCCCGGCGTGCCTGAGCAGGCTCGCGAAGCCCGTCAGTCCCGCCGACGAAAGCTCCTTTTCTAAGGGCGAGGCCATGCCAGAAGCGAACGCTTCCGATAAATCGGTCGTGGATTCGGCGGACGCGCAGATGGCTGTGGGTTGTGATGATGACAAGAGAAGGAGCAGGACGATCGGGAGCACGACGACTATTCCTGCTGCGCTTGTCATCGTCTGGTCGCGAGGAGAGAGACTAAACGTCCACGCGGCGCTGCGACCCGAACTTCGGATAAAAGATGTGGGCGGATTCCGAAACGGTGGCTGGCTGATCGACGCGCTGAGTTCAAGTTGTAAGCAAAGAGTCAGAGAGCTGAAGAAGGCACTATGCGGAGTAAGTTACTCGGAAGTGGAATTCAATAATGCAGCTTGTTGGGAGCAGCCACATTAAATACTTCGAAGTTCGGCGCCTGTTCGCTCCGCGATTGGCGGGGCTGCCTAAGCCGTATGCTGGGGGCAGGGCAGGAGGCTGTGTGCCACACGGTCCAAACCTGCGTGCCACACGGATCATAGCTGCGTGTTTGGAGGCGCACCAAAGCCATTCCTGGAAGGAACGCGGCTGGTCGGTCGGTTCCGAGGAATTGGTGGACGCAGTGACGGCGTAGAATTCGCTTGGTGGACAAGTCTGTCGGGTCGGATCACAGGTTCACAGCTCAGAGGACGCGAGTAATTCGGTGTGAGCGGGGGGAAAAGGAGGAAATGAAGTTATTCAGCAGGTCCTTGGCTCCCGGGCACAGCACGCGATCCCAGCGTTTGGTTGGGAGTAGCTTCCCGTTAAAGCCCAGGTCCCAAGTTACAAGGTGCGAGGTTTTTTGTTAACTATTTCGGAAGGTGTAAGGAATTTCCATTCCTTACTGACTCGTCACGTTCGGCCTACATTTTCGACCCAACCCTTTCTCGAGTCGCGTCCGACAGCGTCGCCACATTGCCGAACCTACCCACGTCCCGAGGTTATCGTCATATTACGTCTACTCCTATATAACCTCGTGCTTTCATTGCAATAGTGACCTTGTATTCTCACGTTATAGTTCATTGACATCTTCTAAATCATAACAGCTGGTATCAGAGCCCGACCTTTCTCGGAACCTTCCGTTTTCCCCGTTAGTTAGTTAAGGGTGGTCAGAGGGGATTAACACGGTTGCACAGCAGTTGCCTTTGATCGTAAATATTTTTACGTCAATAACTACAGCGTGTGCGCTAGTTTCTGCCCCGTCCTGACCGCCATGGCCCCGGTAGACTCGACGGTTGAGGAACAGACAACCTCGACTGCTGCGAACTCTGCCCGGGAAACAGTAGACCTGCAAGCATTAATGGAGCAGTTGAATAATTTGACAAGCGTCGTCAACAACCTCCGTGACGAAAACCAACGACTTCGCCAGGCGCAGGAAAGGCGTTCAGAGGAGCCGGGCGACGATGCACGAAGCGAGGCGGGTGAGCAGCAACCGACACCAGTGGAGCTAGCACGGCTAGCGGCGACAGCCCCGCGCTCGACAAGTGGCGGCGTGAGATATCAGCAACCCGCTCCCTTCGACCCAGCTAATAAATGCGTGACGGTGCGGCAGTGGATATTCGCCATGAATATCTACTTTACGCATGTGGAAGCAGCTGGGATCTGTGTCTGACTACACCGCGTCATTCTTGACGTTGGTGGATTGATGTGGCTACATGCACGAGTTGGAGAAGGTCGACAGGTACATGGGCGGGCTGAAGCCTGAAATACAGTACCAAATAAAATTACAATGACCTGCGAAGTGGTTACAAGACTTCATCCAACTCGCCGAAGCCGCTGACTCGCTCACGAAGTCGAGGACGAACTTCTACGACGGAGGTCGCCCCCGAGAACAGTACCAGCGCGCCACGATAAAAGGGATGGACGCAGTGGATATTTACGCAGTTGCTCCGCGAAATACGGGGCTATGCTACCACTGTGGCCGACCGGGTCACATCAAACGCAACTGCCAAGAGTTCATAGCCATCCAGAATTCTATGGGGAAGAAGCTGGAGGAGCGACCTGGAAATGGGTCGCGTCAGTAAGTACCGGGCCCCTTACTGACGGGGAGGCTCCTTCGCCCGAACCACACAGTCCCCACCGGGTCGTGACCCCGATTGCTGCAATCGACCGGACCCGGACGAATAAGGGGGACGAAACTGCTGATCACCCTGTGTTGGTGGAGGGTAAAGTCAACGGGGTGTTGCTGAAAATATTTGTGGATGGAGGCGCGAGTCACAGTCTCATACAGCTAGACAGGGCTAAGAAAATGGGTATCCCCTTATTAAAGTGCCTACCCAAAATTGACGCACGACTGGTGGATGGAACACCGCTGGCTATACGGGAGCGGGTGGAGCACGTCAGTTTCCACTGCGGCGAGCATGTAAAATTTCGGATGGGGCTGCTGGCGACTACACTCGACGGGTGCGATGTGCTGCTGGGACGGGATTGGCTGCGACAGTACAACCCGAGAATCGACTGGACGACGGGCAGCTGCAGCATCAAGATCGATGGGCACTATCACGAGTTACCGAAATGGACGGGACCCCGCATGCGAAGTACCCAAGTCCACGCGATCACCTTCAAGCGCGCGATAAAAGCGGGAGCAGCAGCATACGCCGTCGATCTTCGCGAAGTGACGTCGCCGATAACTGCGGAAGATATCACGAAGCTGTGTGAAGCCGTTCCTCCGGATTTAGCGGAACTCATTCGAAAATACCCCGAGATTTTCCCGGACGACCTACCCGCCGGACTCCCGCCAAGCCGACCCGAAGACCATCGCATCGAGCTGGAACCAGGCGCACAACCGACAGTACAGCGACAATTTCGGCTCAGCCAACCTGAACTCGAAGAATTGCAGCAGCAGTTAGATTACCTCATGACGAAGGGTTTTATCCGACCCAGCACGTCCCCATACGCCGCCCCGATACTGTTCACACCGAAAAAAGATGGAGGATTCCGCATGTGCATCGACTACCGCGCGCTCAACCGCATCACCATCAAGTCCCGTTACTCGATCCCGCTAGCCGACGACCTCCTCGACCAACTTCGCGGAGCCAAGTTCTTCTCGAAAATCGACCTTCGAGGAGGTTACCATCAAATTCGCGTCACCGCCGACGATTGTCACAAAACCGCTTTCCGAACCCGCTACGGCAATTACGAATACCTGGTGATGCCTTTTGGCCTCACAAACGCGCCCTCGACTTTTCAGATGACCATGAACGGTGTTTTCCGCGAACTCCTGGATAAATGCGTAATTATCTACCTCGACGACATCCTAATCTACAGCTGCAGCAGGGAGCAGCACTTAAAGGATCTTGATGCAGTCTTCACGCTGCTGCACAAGAATCGCCTCATCACGAAAGGGTCTAAGTGCGATTTTCTTAAGCAAGAGTTGGAGTTTTTGGGCCACGTCGTCTCTACCGAAGGAGTGAAAATCGACCCCAAGAAAATCAAGACTATACAGGAATGGAAGCCGCCGACCAACCTCAAGGAACTACAGAGTTTTCTGGGTTTCGTCAACTACGTCCGCTGCTTCATCCCCAATATGGCTGGGTTATCTGCTCCTCTAACTGACCGACTGAAGGATCACGACTGTTTTTGGTGGGGAGAGAAGCAGCAAGCTGCATTCGACCAACTCAAAATCGCCCTCACGTCGCCACCCGTACTTCGCATCTCCGATCCCGACCGTCCATACGAAGTCGTCACCGACGCCAGCGACATCGCCATCGGTGCTGTTCTCCTCCAGGACTTCGGCGACGGGTTACAACCAGTCGCCTACGAATCACAGAAACTGCAGGGCGCGGAGAAAAACTATACCGTACACGACAAGGAAATGCTGGCGATCGTCCACGCGTTCAAGACCTGGCGGTGCTACCTGACCGGAGCTGATGTCACGGTGCGGACGGACCACAAATCCTTACAGTACCTGCGCGCCCAACCGAATCTCAACCCGCGACAGATTCGATGGCTCGATTTCCTCGAGTCCAACTTCCACTACACCATCACCTACAAACGGGGTGCCAATAATATCGCCGATGCCTTGACCCGCCCTACTGTCCATACCGCCGCGATACTAATCGCCCAGACCAACCCATTACTTACGAGACTATTCACCCACGGCTACAAGATCGATCCCTTTTTCCGCTCAGCCATCCATCAACAGCATACCACAACCACCGGGCCATATTTTTATAAGCGTGGTACTTCTCGCATTTGGGTGCCAGGCTACGATTTACTTCGTACCCTCCTAATCCAGGAATCCCACGACAACCCTACCTCAGGACATTTCGGCGTCGATAAAACCACGAAGATGTTGCAGCGGAATTATTACTAGCCGAACATGGCCGATGACGTGCGCAAGTACGTATCCTCCTGTACTGCCTGTCAGATTATGAAATCGTCGCATCAACGAGCAGCCGGACTACTACAGCCGTTGGATCCGCCCGAGCGACCCTGGCAACACGTCACGATGGACTACGTGACAGGACTACCGGCCGGTCCCAGCGGAAACGACGCCATCCTCGTGGTCGTTGACCGACTCACGAAAATGGCGCACTTCATCGCCTGCCAACAGACAATCATCGCCGAACAAACAGCGCAACTGTTCCTCACGAACGTCATCCAACTGCACAGACTGCCCTCCGCCATCATTTCAGATCGAGACCTGAAATTCACATCGAATTTCTGGCGCCACATGTGGGATCAATTCGGCACCAAACTCCAATTTTCATCCGCCTACCACCCATAGACCGACGGGCAGACCGAACGCGTCAACCAGACCATGGAGCAACTGATTCGTACTACCTGTACTGACCCATCTACATGGGAGAAATCCCTTCCGCTGCTAGAATTCGCGTATAATAACGCGACCTCCGCCACAACCAACCAATCTCCATTCTTCCTCAACTACGGACAGGACCCAGTCGTACCCTCTACACCGACAATAGAGTCACCCGTGCCCCGGTCCCAGAAATTTGCTGAAGACATTCTCGCCGCTCGAGAAAAAGCAGCTGAAGCCATCCGAAAAGCCAACCTGGTTGCAAGCCGACAAGCCGATCGTCATCGCCGTGACGTCACTTACAAAGTGGGAGATCTAGTCCTCCTCGACACCCGCAATCTGCGGCTGCCGATCCCAAGCAAACTCCGACCCAGATTCTGTGAACCTTTTCAAGTGACCAACCTAGTGACACCTGTCACTGTTCACCTTCGACTACCGGCTGATTGGTGCCACCACCCGGCTTTCCACGTCAGCCTTCTCCGACCCTACGTCCCGAGTTCGTCGGATTTGGCACGCAACCGCGGCGTACCGCAACTAACGCCTTTGCAGGAACCGACGACCGAGCCCCTGAAAATCCTCGGCCATCGCGTCACCACGTAGCTGAACTGTCGGATGGTTGATTTCCTCGTCCGCTGGCGCGATCGCACGTCCGAAGACGACAGTTGGGTGCCTCTCGTTGACCTAGAATCCCATCCGATTCTAACGGCGTATTATCAGCGTCGTAACGTCTCCGATGCCCACGGACTCGTTTAGGAGGGGGGGGTAGTGTAAGGAATTTCCATTCCTTACTGAGTCGCCCGCTACCGCGCACACCCGAACACTTCGACTCGTCACGTTTGGCCTACATTTTCGACCCAACCCTTTCTCGAGTCGCGTCCGACAGCGTCGCCACATTGCCGAACCTACCCACGTCCCGAGGTTATCGCCCTATTACGTCTACTCCTATATAACCTCGTGCTTTCATTGCAATAGCGACCTTGTATTCTCACGTTATAGTTCATTGACATCTTCTAAATCATAATAGAAGGGGTCTGAGTGGTTACCCTGTGCAATTTGAAAACAGTGAACAAGTGGGGGGGGGTGATGGAGAAGGGAGGCGTGTGTTTGGACGATGGGGAAAATCGTGTTTCGCTAACCCAGCACAAACTCCAACCAAAGGGAAGAAACCTCCAAGGGGAAAAAGCGGGGCTTGTAATTTGGGACTGCTTGAAAACCATTTTGTTCACAAAATGGAGCCATGCGTAGCTTTTCCCACCAGCATTTCGCAATCAGACGCGCTAGCCTAGTCCAGTTCACTCATACCCGTCGGTCTAGCCTTCTAGCTCCGGGAACCCAGCTTCCTGCCGTCTCAACCATCTCGCTTCGCGCAGCATCTCTAGCGCCCCACTGCCCGCCGCTACCCTCATCGCGAGTGCACCCACGCGTCCTGCGAACAGTTTCCCGCGCCCGCTGCGCCTCCAAGCTTCCTGCCGCTGCCCATTACCCACTTTCCGCCCCCCTTGGCGATGGTTGGCTGCAAAGCGGGACCTGCTTCCCGCTGTTTCCCGCTTCGCGCAGCCCGTGCGAACCGCAGCGACTCACCCACCTTCCCATGCCGCCATGTTGCTACTTTCCACAGCGACTCGCTCCCCAGAGCCCGCTGTGCGGCCCTTCCTCGCTTCCCGCTGCCTTCCCGATTCCCGGTTCCTGCAAGCTTCGCGCTTGCGGAATGTTCTTCGCCGTTCGATAGGCGCGGGGACAGAGATGAGAGAGGGGCGATGAATAGAGGCGAGAGAGGGGGGTGGATAGGAGGCGCGTGAGGAGGGAGGAATAGAGGCGAGAGATCAGGGAGTAAGTGTGGCGAAATAGCAGGGAAATTGAGAGGCGACTTAGCAGGGGATAAGAGAGGCGAGAGAGAAGGGAACAAGAGAGGCGAGAGACGGGTGGGGGGGAGGGGGGCGAGAGATCAGGGAGAAAGAGAGGCGAGAGAAGGGGGAGGAAGAGAGGCGAGAGAGGGGGGAGGAAGAGAGGGGAGAGAGGGGGGAGGAAGAGAGGCGAGAGAGGGGGGAGGAAGAGAGGCGAGAGAGGGGGGAAAAAGAGAGGCGAGAGAGGGGGGAGGAAGAGAGGGGAGAGAGGGGGGAGGAAGAGAAGCGAGAGAGGGGGGAGGAAGAGAGGAGAGAGATGAGGGAGTGCGATAGGCGAGAAACTAGGGAGGTAGAGAGGCGAGAGTCGAGGGGGGGAAGAGACCAGAGAGAGCTGGTGGGAAGAGAGGCGAGAGAGCAGGGAGAGAGGGGAGAGAGGGGGCGGAAGAAGGGAGAGGGAAGGGGAGGAAGAGAAGCGAGAGAGGAACATGGAAGAGAGGCGAAGCAGCAGGGAAGAGAGCGGGGCGTGAGAGAGGGAGAAAGGCGAGAGGGCAGGAACATGGAAGAGAGGAGTGAGAGCAACGGGATCGTGAGGAGTGAGGGCAGGGGAGGGAGACAGGCGTCAGAGTGCAGGGAGAGTGAGGGGAGCAGGAGAGGGGTAGTGGATTGAGAGCAGGGGAGGGGGAGAGGAGGGAGACATGGGAGGGGGAGAGGAGGGAGAGCAGGGATGGGTGAGATGCGCGAGAGCAGGGGAGGGGAAACGGCAGGAGTGCGCGGGAGGGAGTGAGTGAGCAGGGAGGGAGTGAGTGAGGCATGAGGGCAGGGAGGGAGTGAGTGAGGCATGAGAGCAGGGAGGGAGTGTAGGCTAGGGATTGTGGGGAGGTGAGTGTGGGGAAGGTAGGGAGGGCGGAAGGTAGGGAGGGTGGAAGGGTGGAAGGGTGGGAGGGCGGAAGGGAGGGAGGGCGGAAGGGAGGGGGGCGGGAAGGGGCAGCTGTAGCACGTGTGAGGAAGGGAAGAGGCAGTCCAGTAGTGAGGGCGGAAGGTGGTGAGGGCCGAAGGTAGGGAGGGCGGATGATTGGGGGGGCTGATGGCGGGGAGGGCAGAACAGTGGGGGGGGCAGAAAGACGGAGCGTTGCGCCTGAGAACCGAGGGAGTGAGGTGTGAGGGCAAGGAGGGGTGGGGGGCGTTAGGGGGGGGGGGGCGTTAGAGGAATATGAAGATGATGATGATGCTAGGCAGTGCTGAGCGATGGAGTGCATGGCTGGCGGCGAGAAATGCGGCGACGCGGTTTGGCTGCGGAAAGTGCGGGCATGCGGTAAGCTCGGGGCTGCGTTACGTGCAGGAAACACCCGCTAGAAAGGTGCTCTTTTCCTGGCATTGGCTGGAAGGGGTTTGGGATGTAGTGGAACCGTTAGAAGGTGACTCGGTAAAAGCAACGGTCTTCGCACTATATTGCAGAAGTGGAAGACACGTACAAAAACTTGATTTGTGAATCTCCATCATTGGTGCCGCAGCAACAGAACAGAAACATCGCTACCCATGAGATTCGATGACACAAGAGCAGCCCTTTTAACCCTTGCATGCCCTACACATTTGCACGCAATACGATGCCATAGCAACAATAAATAGACAAGGTGAAACATCTACTCGGTATCATCGCCATCGTTTGTATTCCCAAGCTGCACAACAACACTCCCTCCTGCAAAAGATAACAGCCAAAACAAAAAGGCTTGGCTGAATGAAAGGGAGAGGAAGGAGCATGCATGATAGCCAAAGAGCCAAGCAAAGCCATAGGGAGAGCACGCTTATCCATGCGCCAAGATCTTCTCACCAAAAATCAATGCTGCGCCTACGTAGCTGAGAGTTGTCCACTCCTCATGGAGCACGATTGTTGCCAACACAGCAGAATAGAGGGGATCGAGAGTGTAGATCACTGCAGCATCCGACGCCGCCACGTGCCTGAAAGCCAAAATCTGAAAAGGTATCAACAGCAAGCAGAGAACATCGGTGCAAAAGTCTCTACATTTGGGGCGCCTCACAAAAAGCTGCCACGTGCCTCAAGGCCACGTTCTGGAGAGTAACAGCAGCAAGCAGAGAATGTCAGTGCGGAAATCTCTACATAGGTAGGGCTTCAGTCAAACAAACAAAGAGCTCCAGGAAAGGTGGCTTTTGAGTCGACTCAAAAGTCACCTCATTGGCCAACAGTGAAACAAACAAAGAGCTGCAGGAAAGGTTACCTCGAGCCAGAGGCAGAGTGCTGTGGAGACGACGCCAGTGTATGCCATCTGAAGCCACGGCCATGTGCTCGCCTGTGAGACCAGTCTTGTGAGGTCATCGGTTGACGGGAGTATAGTGAGCAGGTCCTGGAATTGGCTATAAGAGCCGTCCAAAGGACTGCTGGAAAGACCTGTGGCAAATTCTGTGGCTGATGCTGTCACGGCTGCTGGTGCTGCGACAGCTGCTGCCACTGCTGCTGCGGTCTCTGCAAGGGCGGTGCTGGTGGATGGAAGATCCACGAAGCTAGTGATGGCCACACCTACAGCAGCGCAGCATGCAACAGTGAATATCTGCCAGGGTGGGAGACGGGTGTACGGGGATGTGGAAACTGGAGGAGACACCTTAATGAGAAATCACAGCTTTGACAAAAGAAACTTATAAGTTTCGACTCACAGCTTCGGCGGGTACATGTTACATCTTGATAACGAGGTGGCGTGGCGCACCCCCCTTCGACGATAAGACATCACCACCAAGATGTTCCTCCACCCTTACTGCTTCCCACTTCTCATTCACACAATCCTTGACACCCCCCCACCACATGGCCACCGGCAAGACCCCCCCCCTACCTGCACTGAGATGAGGTCAAGGGTGGCTGAGGGCGGCACACTCTTTGCAAACTTCTCTGACCGAATGATCTGAAGGCCAAACGCCATGGCGCTCACCAGTGCCAGGCCGTCGCCGACCTGATTAGCGAGGTTCATGGCACGTCAGAGAGGGCGAAAATGGGCTGTTGATGAAACATTCGAGCCTCTGACCGGCTATTTTCCCGACAGACGCCAGGCTGTCACCAACCATGCCCCTTACCAACGCCAGGCTGTCACCAACCATGCCGCTGACCAACCTGACCCAGAGAGTTGCGTTTCAAAGCATGTGAGGGTGAGATGGGTGAGGAGAGATGGGTGAGGTGAGATGGGTGAGGAGAGATGGGTGAGGTGAGATGGGTGAGGTGAGATGGGTGAGGTGAGATGGGTGAGGTGAGATAGATGGGTGAGGTGTTTTAGAGACGTCTAAAAATCTGACTGAGCCAAGCTGCCAGACTAACGCCATGGCACTGACCTATGCTATGCCATCACCAGCTGACCAGAGGTTGTGCACATGATTCGGGCTGAGTTAAGAGTCGACTCAAGAGGTTGTGCACATGTTTAGGGCACGAGCAACAGTGCACGCACCAGCGGGGGCGCCTGTGAGTTGGCTCAGGGTTCAGAGTTCTTAATAACGCACCAGCGTGGACGCCTCTGAGTTGGCTTCGAGGAGCAGAACACCAGCAACAGCCGAGGCAGTGGCAGCCCACACAAGGGGAGGGATGCGCGCCCCCAAGAGACCCGCCACCAGAGGCACCTCTATCATCTTTCATGCGGGGAACATCACAGGACAACATGATAGAGAGTATACACCAGTTGAGCAGTCCATGTCGGGTGGTATGCACCAAGGCAAGGAGACCGGTACTAGATAGGAGGGTTTCAGGTGCAATCAGAGAGGTGGAAAGGGTTTTAAGGGTTTAAAAGTGACACCTGGCAGGCTCATATAGGCAGTGAAAGAGATTACCGTGAAGGTGCTTATAAATGAGACGCGACCAGCGCCAGTGGTGATGAGCGCGAAGGCCTGGGAGAGGTACGCCAGGGACGTCCAGAGGCCCATCTCCACGCCGCAGCGACGGACAGTGGGGTTGGAGAGGCCGGCAGGGAGCAGCGGCGAGAGCGCTAGAGCAGCGATGGCGAAGCGGCCCAGGCAGAACGGCAGAGGCCCCCCTGCGGCCTCCTCCGCTCCCTTGACTATGGTTGTGTTAGTGGCTGCGTGGGAGGGTGCGGTAGGAAGGAAGGAGGCATGGGAGGAGCAGGAGTTAGGGCATGGTAGTGGTAAGGTGAGGACGCAGACGGGCTGGTTAAGATCCAACGGCGGAGAAGAGCAGACGGAAGAGGCCAGAAGCACGGTGTGAGTCAATTGCTTACTAGGAAACTGAGAGGACGACGGAGTTCAATTCACAACACAGCGAACCATAGATGGTGACGAAGTACCATAGAGCATGGTGATGACGTACCATAGAGCATGGTGATGACGTACCATAGAGCATGGTGACGACGTACCATAGAGCATGGTGATGACGTACCATAGAGCATGGTGACGACGTACCATAGAGCATGGTGACGACGTACCATAGAGCATGGTGACGACGTACCATAGAGCATGGTGATGACGTACCATAGAGCATGGTGACGACGTACCATAGAGCATGGTGACGACGTACCATAGAGCATGGTGACGACGTACCATAGAGCATGGTGACGACGTACCATAGAGCATGGTGACGACGTACCATAGAGCATGGTGACGACGTACCATAGAGCATGGTGACGACGTACCATAGAGCATGGTGACGACGTACCATAGAGCATGGTGACGACGTACCATAGAGCATGGTGACGACGTACCATAGAGCATGGTGACGACGTACCATAGAGCATGGTGACGACGTACCATAGAGCATGGTGACGACGTACCATAGAGCATGGTGACGACGTACCATAGAGCATGGTGACGACGTACCATAGAGCATGGTGACGACGTATCATAGAGCATGGTGACGACGTACCATAGAGCATGGTGATGACGTACCATAGAGCATGGTGATGACGTACCATAGAGCATGGTGACGACGTACCATAGAGCATGGTGATGACGTACCATAGAGCATGGTGACGACGTACCATAGAGCATGGTGACGACGTACCATAGAGCATGGTGACGACGTACCATAGAGCATGGTGATGACGTACCATAGAGCATGGTGACGACGTACCATAGAGCATGGTGACGACGTACCATAGAGCATGGTGACGACGTACCATAGAGCATGGTGACGACGTACCATAGAGCATGGTGACGACGTACCATAGAGCATGGTGACGACGTACCATAGAGCATGGTGACGACGTACCATAGAGCATGGTGACGACGTACCATAGAGCATGGTGACGACGTACCATAGAGCATGGTGACGACGTACCATAGAGCATGGTGACGACGTACCATAGAGCATGGTGACGACGTACCATAGAGCATGGTGACGACGTACCATAGAGCATGGTGACGACGTACCATAGAGCATGGTGACGACGTACCATAGAGCATGGTGACGACGTACCATAGAGCATGGTGACGACGTACCATAGAGCATGGTGACGACGTACCATAGAGCATGGTGACGACGTACCATAGAGCATGGTGACGACGTACCATAGAGCATGGTGACGACGTACCATAGAGCATGGTGACGACGTACCATAGAGCATGGTGACGACGTACCATAGAGCATGGTGATGACGTACCATAGAGCATGGTGATGACGTACCATAGAGCATGGTGACGACGTACCATAGAGCATGGTGACGACGTACCATAGAGCATGGTGATGACGTACCATAGAGCATGGTGACGATGTTGAGAACGACGAGACCGCCCACGCGAGAAGCAACCACCTTGGTGAGGGCTTCAGCGCCCCGCTCCATCAGCAGCGGCACCAAGTCCGTGAGCGACCGCCGAGGGGCATTCTCCTCTCCTTCAACACGCCGAGGTTCCTCAGGCACTGTCTCTCCCAAGGCTCTCGTGGAAGTATCTTCCAGCGATGCTAGAGGCTTTAGAGCAGCCTTCACTAAAGGCGGATCAGCCTGCGTGCGGCTCCTCTCTTTGAGGATCTCCGACTGTGCATGCTCCCGGTGCTGCCCTGCTTCCGGCGTGACGCTGGCCTCATGAGTAGGAGAGGTTTGCTTCAATGATCCAGTGCTTTCTATGCTGACGTGGCATTGGAGAATTCTGGTGCTCGTGAAAGTTCTCGTGGAGTTCCCAAGGCTACTGCGATGAGAGACGCGGACTAGGCGGTCGAGAGCTGAGGGTCTCAATTGTGTGCGTAGTTTGTGAGTCTGCGCGAAGATTCTGCGAGGCTGCTGGTCGTGAGCGGCTCCTATCGAGGAAAGAGGGGAGCCGTGATGTCTTGATCCGCGCGAGCGGGAGCGTGTACCCTGCGAGAGATTTTCGAGAAATTTAAAAAAGCGTGTACCCTCTACAGGCTGCACTGTTCGGAATCTTCTACTCGCTCCCGTGCTTGCAAGGGAAGGAGCGGAGGGAGACATGGACGGAGAGGAAGGCGACATCACGGCTGTATCGCGTCGCCAATTATTCCGGATAACTAACTTTGCACCGCGTGGTACGACACGATATTATCTAGATTGTAACACGTTCCTGTCCTCGCAGAAATTGCTCGCTGATGTTCGCTGCATGGTAGCTCCTAGAACCTCTGCATGCCAGAACCTGGAATTATGGAGGTCGTAGTCTCGAGCATATGCGGCCTTATCTCCGAGGTCGCAGTCTCGAATGTGCATGAGCCGATTGCACTCTAGACACGCGAAATGGCACGCTAGGAGCCTCGACCTCGTTCTATGATCCTCGAAGGTTGAGCAGGCCTGACAGGACGGATCGACAAGGAATCGACAACGGATCGACGACTCCTCTGTCTTGGGTTCAGTTCAGTTAGTTTTGGCATCAATCAATCGCTGAAGTGTGTGAGCTGAGCAGCGCAGCAACTAACCGTTGGGTTTTAGGGTGGGTCCCATCCCATCCCGAACACACCTCTCTTCACAAATACCCTACCTAACCATTCTATATCGTTTTACAAAAGCTTTAAAACGCTAAGCAGCTTACTGCACCGTAATCAAGCTCATTTCAGTGTCATGTGTTGGTGGTGATGATGTGGAGTAGTCAGCTTTACAGCTGGTATGATCTCCTCGGGATTGTTGCTTCAGTGAACGAGAGGTCGCAGCGCGTCGGCAACAGTTGTATCAGGGCGCAAAATCAGATGTTAGGCAGTAGTACACCCAATTTGAGTGTACAGAACGTAATTTGATAAATATGCAGCAAAATGTCCAGCAAGAGTGCGGTGCTGACATTCACCTTTCACTCCCTAGTGGGTGAAGGCTCCTCTCGTTGTAGTCACCATTGGCGGGAACACTGTTTTCCATCTCTTCCCTTTCTGCAGGCAGTAGAGCAGAGCAGTATTCTTGCTTTTTTCCTCTCCCCCCTCATTACCTCCTACTTTTTTCTTGCAGGCTACGCTCATGGCTTCTGGGTAGATGCGGCTAGGAACCTACCCAGATTTCGCGGGACGCGAGTCGTGAAAATTTTAACATCCCGCACAGCCTGGTTGCTGCATTTCGGAAAAAATCCCTAGTTAGTTCAGGAATTTCACGATGCCTCTTTTCCTATCGGAGGAGGAGCTGCAGGCCTTTCAGGGCGATGTCAGGGCCGTTGCGCGGAAGGCGGAGGAGCAGCTAGCGTCGCTTCTCCGCCAGCTCGAGACGCACAAGGCGCAGGCGGATGCGGCGGAGATCAACGCGGAGCAAACCTGCTCGCTGATAGAGCAGAAGTACCTGGCGGTGACGGACGAGAACGCGCAGCTCGAGCGCGACAAGGGATTTCTCACCGCGGATCTCGACCAGAAGGCGGCGGAGCTCGCGGAGATTAAAGCGCAGGTCCATCGCCTGCAGTTGGAAGCGGTAGGTCTCCCCGGGCGCTTCGCATTAATTAGGTCGTTTCGACCCGGTTCATTTTCCGCCTAACTCGTGAGCTTCCTCGAAATCGCAAGTAGATTCAGGACCTATAGAATGTCTTTGATGTTTCGGCTGTCCGACCTTCAGAATTTCGGGACTAATTAAGGTACTTATTATCGATTCTGCAGATTCAGGGGGATGGCGAGCGGGAGCGGCTGAAAGCGGAGCTGGCGGAGGCGCAGACGAGTCGGCGGGACATCGTGGACGTGATCGAGCGGAAGAACCTCGAGATCGACGAGAAGAACGCGTCGCTCAAGTCGTACCTCGACAAGATCGTGAGTCGAACGACCTTGTTTGAACGACCATCAAAATCTTCGGTTGCATCCGATCAACTCTCTCTGCCGCTTAACTTCACGTGCTGCGAATTTTTACTTTAAGCGCCATTGCCATTCGCTATTGTCACATCGCAGGTCGCCCTGACTGATTCGCGGACCGAGTTGGAGGGTCGGCTGAGGACGGCTGAGGCAGAGGCGTCCCGCTGCAAGGCCGCCGTCACCCGCCATGTGCAGGTGCGTGCGTCTGTCTTGCCCTGCATGACTGGAAACTGCGGTTATTTCGCATATAGGCAGTTTCCGTACGCATCCCCAGTTAATTTCATCGTTTTTGAGCTCCACCGTTTCCGTGACGCCAAGCATCCCGGGTTGCTCGCTGGACTATAACCCTTACTTTTAATTTATTATTCTTTGTACTAAAATCCCAAATGATTCTTGATTCCAGGAGAAGAAGATTCTGGAGCAGCACCTGGCATGGCTGCGCGAGGACGTGGCGGCGAAGGCCAATGTGGTATAATACAGGCTGTATGCTGTATGCTCTCCCTTAATTCGCTGCCTGTTCTTTCCCATCCAGGAGAAGGAGATTCTGGAGCAGCACCTGGCGTGGCTGCGCGAGGACGTGGCGGCGAAGGCGAGCTTGCTGCACGAGGAGCGGCGTGCGAGGGCGGAGGGCGAGGCGGACCTGCGCAGCAAGCTGCTGGCCGCGGAGCACGAGAGGGACGACCTGCGCGCTGCCGAGGGTCGGGCCAAGGCACGGGTTGCGGAGCTGCAAGGGATGGTCGCTCAGCTGCAACAGGTGGGTTAATCAGGTGCAGGAGGTGGGTGAGTCTATTAGGTTCTGAAGGCGAGCTTGCTGCACACGAGGCGCAGAGGGCGGAGGGCGGAGGGCGGAGGGCGAGTCGGACCTGCGCTTTAAGCTGCTGGGCGCGGAGCACGAGCGCGACGACCTGTGCGCTGCCGAGGGTTGCGAGTTGCGGAGATGTGAGGGATGGATGGTCGCTCAGCTGCAGAAGGTTTAGCCGCCTTTTCAGATACGCTTTAAGAGATGCATCCATCCATGGGTTTTCCTGTCGCAGTAGTTGCTGATTAAGCGTGCTACGCTACGCCCGTTGCCTGTTCTCCGTTGCTGTCCTGCATTGCTGTCCTGCATTGCTGTCCTCCAGGAGCTGAAGAAGCGCGCAGAGGAGGAGGCGCTTCACGAGAGCCAGCTAGCTGCTGAACTGGACACTGTAAGAATCGAACTGGACACTGTAAGAACCGAACTGGACATTGTAAGAACCGAACTGGACATTGTAAGAACCGAACTGAACATTGTAAGAACGCGCTGAGTCACTGAAACATGCCAGCCAGCTAGTTTCCTCACTGAGTTCACTGAAACGTGACGTGCCAGTTATCGTTCGTGCTTCGCTTCTTTAGCCTCCGCTTGGCCTCTGCACAATCTCATCGCCGCATGTTGGCGTGTTGGCGTGTTGGCGTGTTGCTCTCCATGCTCTGCGTGCATGTTTCTGCTCCTCTCTCACTGTTGCGTGTCTCCTCTCCCCCCCCTCCTGACTATGCCTGCTGTGTTTCCCTCCCCCCCGTCAGGCCAAGAAGCTGGTGGAGCTGTACAAGGAGAGTGCAGCGGAGGCGGGGGAAAAGGCTGCGGACCTCAAGGGCGTCGTCAAGTCGCTTGAGGTTAGTCAGTTAGCCAGTCAGCCAGCCCAACGCACTTCCATTGAACAAAATCTCGCACCTTGACGTGTCATCTCGCTCCGACCATTCTCCTCTAGGAAAGTACTCAATCACGCCCGAAAGCCACCTGCGTCTGCTTCTCCCCTGCCTGCCTGCGTGCGCCAGAACCACCTGAAGCAAGTGGAGGAGGAGGGGGAGAGGCGGGTCAAGGCAGCGGAGGAGGCGGCGGGGAAGCAACAGCAGGAGGTGCAGCGGCGGTGTGAGGCGTTGCAGAAGAGCCTCGAGGAGGCTAACAGGAAGGCCGCTGCTGCCAGCGAGGTTGCCGCTGAAGCTGCTGCTGCAGGTGCCGGGGGCTTGGAGCTCGTGCCTGCTCCTCCTGCTGCTGCCGGCCCCATCCAACCCTTGTAAGCTCTTTAATTAAATAGCAGGAGGCCAACAGGAAGGCCGCTGCTGCCCATGAGGTAGCCACTGCAGCTGCTGGTGCTGGTGCTGGGGGCTTGGATCTCGTGCCTGCTGCTCCTCCTGTTGCCGCCGGGCGGATTCAACTCCTGTAAGTTCCTTTGCTGCCAGTGAGGCAGCCGCTGCTGCCTCAGCTGCTGCTGGCGCTGGAAGCTTGGATCTTGTAGCACCTGCTCCCCCTGCTGCCGCGTCTCAATCCAGCCATTTTTTGTCTGCTGCCCACCCGCCCACTGTAACTCTCCACTTTTTTCCTGGTTACCTCTCTCTCACACCCTTTCTCACTCTCACTCTCTCCCCCCCTTTCCCCCTGGTTCTCACATGCGTGCAAGGACAGGCAGCTGGCGGCGGTGCTGCATTGGGGAGGCAGTGTGCCAATCGCTGTGCTCTTGAGGCGCCTCTGAAGCAGCCCCCCCCCCCTTCCTCCCCCCCTTTTCCTCCTCTTGCGCGCATGCAGGGACAGGCAGCTGGCGGCGGTCCTGCATGGGGGAGGCAGTGTGCCGCCATCCTTGCCGCAGGCCGTGACCGGAGTGGCTCTCGCCTCCTATCTCGTCAAGGACGGCTGGACGGTTCGTATTTCCAGATGCTGCGCTCCCGACACCTTTCTGCTATTGTGCAGACGGTTTTTTTTTCACTTTATGTTCGACTCTCGTCGTTTTCACTCTACTTCGCCCCTTCCCCCCCTCCTTTTCCACCTCCTTTCCCATCCCCTGTGCCGTTAGCGGTCTCACATGGAGCAAATCTAGTCCCATCTTTCCGTTCCTATTTGTCACTCTGCTGCAGCTGGCGACCATGTATGAGAAGTACGAGGAGGCAGCAGATGCATGGCGGCATGAGAGGCAGCAGCGGCGCCAGGCAGAGACCCTGCTCAACCGGGTAAGAGAGACTGAGACGGATTATGTGAGCAGAGTCTCCCTTCTCCCCGCTCATCGAACTGTGTGCACGGGACTGTTTTTGAGGCGCCTGACAAACGGGACTGATGAATCTCATGAGCTGATGGTGTGGTGTGCCTTCCACTCCACGCCTGTGCGCCCTTCATTCCCCCTCCCCTCCCCTCCCTTCCCTTTGTGTCGCCTCCAATGTGTTGGATGGCTGCTTCTGCCAGCCTTGCATGCGTCCCACCCACCACAGCCACAGGGTTGTTTTGCAAGCCACCCTCTCAACCCCCCATCCACTCGCCCCCCCTCTCTCCCACCCTCTCACCCCCCATCCACTCGCCCCCCCTCTCTCCCACCCTCTCACCCCCCCATCCACTCGCCCCCCCTCTCTCCCACCCTCTCACCCCCCATCCACTCGCCCCCCCTCACTCCCACCCTCTCACCCCCCCATCCACTCGCCCCCCCTCTCTCCCACCCTCTCACCCCCCCATCCACTCGCCCCCCCTCTCTCCCACCCTCTCACCCCCCCATCCACTCGCCCCCCCTCTCTCCCACCCTCTCACCCCCCCATCCACTCGCCCCCCTCTCTCCCACCCTCTCACCCCCCATCCACTCGCCCCCCCTCTCTCCCACCCTCTCACCCCCCCATCCACTCGCCCCCCCTCTCTCCCACCCTCTCACCCCCCCATCCACTCGCCCCCCCTCTCTCCCACCCTCTCATCCCCCCATCCACTCGCCCCCCCTCTCTCCCACCCTCTCACCCCCCCATCCACTCGCCCCCCCTCTCTCCCACCCTCTCACCCCCCCATCCACTCGGCCTCCCACCCACTCTTTCTTCCGCGCACCCACATGCAGGTGCTGTGGGAGATTGAGCAGAAGGCGGGCGTGGTGATGGAGGAGAGGCAGGAGCACGCCCACATGATACAGACTTGTTTTGCAGGCCACCCTCTCACCCGCCCCTCTCACTCTACCCACCCACCCTCACCCATGCTCACACACATACAACACACTCTCACACACATACAACACACTCTCACACACATACAACACACTCTCACACGTGCAGGTGCTGAGGGAGATTGAGCAGAAGGCGGGCGTGGTGATGGAGGAGAGGCAGGAGCACGCACGCATGGCACACGCCTACGATGTCATGCAGGACAAGCTCGCCCTGGCGGCGGACCAGCAGGCTGCCGTTGAGGCGTCTCTCGCTGAGTGCCGGGTAAGGGAGTTAGGGAGAGTGGGTGTCTGGTTAGATTGGTGCACGCACGAGCCTACGATGTCATGCAGGACAAGCTGGCCCTGGCAGCGGACCAGCAGGCCGCTGTTGAGGCGTCTCTCGCTGAGTGCCGGGTAAGGGAGCTAGGAGAGTGGGTGTCTGTTGATTATAGATAAGAGCACGTGCATACAATGTCATACAGGTCAAGCTGGCTTTAGTGGCGGGCCAGCAGGCTGCTGCTGTTGAGGCGTCTCTCGCTGAGTGCCGGGTAAGGGAGTGAGGGAGAGTGGGATGCAGGAAAAGGGAGTGAGGGAGAGTGGGATGCAGGAAAAGGGAGTGAGGGAGTGGGATGCAGGAAAAAGGAGTGAGGGAGAGTGGGATGCAGGAAAAGGGAGTGAGGGAGAGTGGGATGTAGGAAAAGGGAGTGAGGGAGAGTGGGATGCAGGAAAAGGGAGTGAGGGAGAGTGGGATGCAGGAAAAGCTGGCCCTGGCAGCGGACCAGCAGGCCGCTGTTGAGGCATCACTTGCTGAGTGCCGGGTTAAGAATGCCGCTGTTTCCTCCACTTTGCAGCCATGGTTATCAAGCTCTTGACTCCTAAAGCAATTGCTTCACTTCACTGTGCCCAACGCCTGTCTGAACCCGTCTGTGCTTACCAGGCGGAGCTGCGGGCGAGGGAGAGGGACGTGAGCCTGCTGTCCACAGACGTGGCTGATCTGCAGAGCCAGGTACAGTGAGCAAGGGTACGCGGGAACAAGCTACAGTGAGCTGCCGGATGGGTCACGAATTCAGTAATTGTGAAGTCGCAGAGTTTATTTTTGTGGTTGCAGAGTTTATTTGTGCAATTGCGAAGTTTTTGGGAAAGTCGTAAGTCGGTAGACACACTAATCTTACCTGCATGTGTGTTTTTACTCGTGCTTCCTTCTTTTTGTTTCTTTTCCCATTTGTCTCTTGTCAGGTGACTGTCCTGCTGAAGGAATTACGGGACGTGACTATGCAGCGTGCTAATAACGAAGCTGCTGCTCCACCCACCCCGCCGCGACCCTCTTCGGCCGATTTCGTTTCCGTGGAACAGGTAAGCAGAGTCTATTTTTGAGGCACCTCAAAAATCGTTTCTGTGGAACAGGTAAGGAGAGTCTATTTTTGAGGCGCCTCACAAAACGTTTCCGTGGAACAGGTAAGGAGAGAATTTAGCAGAATCGGCTCACTTGCATTGGTCTTTTGAGCAAGGCTGGCTGGTTCTTATGGGGCTCTTGGAAACCTGACCAAGTGCGAGCAAAGCTCGTGTCATTCAAGGTTTCCTGCTTCGACGATTTTCCTTATCCCCCCCCCCCATACATCATGACTTTATCTGTAAGCTAGCAGCCCATGGCTCCTGGCTCATGGTTCCGTCTACAATCCTCTTTCTCCCTCTATCCGTCTCCCCCAGCTGACCATCACGGACATCGAGGGCCTGGTGCATGCAAACACAACTCTCCGCCACTCCCTGCGGCAGCTGCAGGACGACTATAACACCCTGGAGCCCCGACTCAAGGTACGCTGGATTGCACCATGTGTATGTGTGTGTGTGTGTGTGCGTGTGCGTGTGTGCGTGTGTGTGTGTGTGTGTGTGCGTGTGTGTGTGCGCGTGTGCGTGCGTGCGCGTGTGTGTGTGTGCGTGTGTGTGCGTGCGTGCGTGTGTGTGCGTGTGTGTGCGTGTGTGTGCGTGTGCATGCGTGTGCGTGTGTGCGCGCGCGTGTGTGTGTGTGTGTGTGTGTGTGTGTGTGTGTGTGTGTGTGTGTGTGTGTGTGTGTGTGTGTGCTATGTGAAGCTTTCCAGGCGTGTGCTCTGTGCCAGCTGCAGGACGACTAAAGCACCCTGGAGCCCCGACTCAAGGTACCCCGGATGGCACCATGTGTGTGTATCGCCCTTTGGACCCCTGGACCATGACCTACCCCTTTTTTTCCTTTCAAGTTCTCCTCTTGCAACTGGAAAGCGCGGTTAGAAGAAGAGCTGGGGAGGCGGGAGAGGTGGAACGAGTGGTGTGATGAGGCACCTCAAAACACGACTCCTTTCCCTTCCCCCCCCCTCAAATCTACCTGAACAACACGCCCTCTCTGCCCCTCCGTCTGTGGCACGTGGCACTGTGTCTGGGTTGCATGCGAGCAGGGGCGGTTTGAGGAGGAGCTGGAGAGTCGGGCAGCAGCGAACGCCAGGGAGGTGGAGCGGGTGGTGTGATGAGGCCCTTCAAATCTCAACTCCTTTCCCTTCCTCGCTCGTCAAATGTATATTATTAACACGCTCTCTGCCCCTCTGTCCGTGGCATGTGAGCAGGCGCGGTTTGAGGAAGAGTTGGAGAGTCGGGCAGCAGCGAACGCCAAGGAGGTGGAGCGGGCGGTGGGCATGTTCCGCGAGCAGGAGGAGCTGGCGCAGCGGCACAAGGCCGCTGTGAGTGCTTCTTTCCTCAAGTGTTGAAGGGAATGGAAAGTTCCGCCCTGTTTTCCTGCCCTCCGCCGCACCCTCGTCCTTGTGCCTTGGTGTGCTGTTGTCCACCTCACGATCCGCCTCACAATACGATCCCACCCCAACCCACCAGCACGACATGTTCAGCCTGTTGCATGATGAGCAACAGTTGCGCATGCGGGCGTTGGCAAGAGGCATTGCGTCTGGTTCACCCTCTCATCTCATCTGCTTTGTCTTGTTGCGCTGTTGTTCCATCTTACATCCATTGCACCATCCATTCCACCATCCACCCCTCCAGCACGACATGTTGAAGCTGCTGAGCTGACAGCTGTACGACGAGCAGCAGCAGTGCGCACGTGCAATGGCAAGAAGAATTGCGTCTGGTTCACCCTCTCTTCTGCTTTGCCTTGGTGCTCTGTTGTCCCCCCCCCACCATCCATTCCACCAGCACGACATGTTCAAGCTCCTCTACGACGAGCAGCAGCAGCGCGTGCGTGCTGGTGCTGGCTCTCCGGCACCCAAGGGAGCACCTTCTGCTGACGCCATGCCCATGCTGTCCTCCCCACCTCCTGATGGTGCGTCAGAAGACTGTAGCATACATCCAAAGTGCGCCACATGATTCACATGCGGCATGTGGTACAAAGTGCATCACTCGATTCACATGTGATCACTTGTGGACAGCAGCGTAAGCCCATGCTGGCTTACTGTTTCACTTTGTCGTAAGCCCATGCTGTTCTCCCCGCCTCCTGATGGCAAGTCAAAGGATGGTCTTTTCCAATTCACTGCGTTACTCGGTGGTTCTTCTCATTCAACGTGGAGCACCATGCTCTGCGATGTCAATTGTTGCTCGGCTCTGGGAGATTCTGTTAGGAGCTGTCTCCCCTGCAGTGCGTTGCCCTGGAGGTTGTTTCCATTCAACTGCTCATACGCGTCACATGCGCTTGCCCTTCACTTGTGTTCTTCCTTTTTGATGGCAGGCCCTGACTACAAGACCCTCTATACAGCAGCACAGGTACCCTGCTCCTCCCCCCTCAAAATAACTCATTCTTCTACCCCTTTCCTTCCCTTCTCTCCGTGTCTCTGCTCGCCTCTCTCCCTCCCTCAACGCCGTGTCCTCTGCAAAATTGATCCTGTGCATTCAGTGTGGAGGTTTTAATGATGGCAGTTTGGATAAGCGTGTTACGTTCTCTGGCTTGGCTCCTGGTATGCTGCTTGTGCATAACCCTGCCTCCATTGTGTTTTCCTTGTAATCCTTGCTGTCTTGCCATCCGCATGCCACCATTCCACCGTGCCACCATGCTGCTGTGCCACCGTGCCATCATGCTGCTGTGCCACGGTGCCATCATGCTGCTGTGCCACCATGCCACCATGCTGCTGTGCCACCGTGCCACCATGCTGCTGTGCCACCGTGCCACCATGCTGCTGTGCCACCGTGCCACCATGCTGCTGTGCCACCGTGCCACCATGCTGCTGTGCCACCGTGCCATCATGCTGCTGTGCCACCGTGCCACCATGCTGCTGTGCCACCGTGCCACTATGCTGCTGTGCCACCGTGCCACCATGCTGCTGTGCCACCGTGCCACCATGCTGCTGTGCATGCGAGCACAGGAGGAGCTGGAGCGGCTGCGCAAGGACCGCAAGCAGCACATGGACGAGCTTCAAGAAGCACTGGATGCTGCCAGGTGAGATGTGCACCCAATGCTGCTGTACGTTGTGGTCGGGCTGTGGGGCTGTGCTGCGGTGTGTTGCATCGGATCAGGAGGAGCTGGAGTGGCTGCGCGAGGACCGCAAGCAGCACATGGACGCGCTGCAAGAGGCCTTAGATGCTGCCAGGTGGGATACATGGTACCGGGTGGGATAAGTGCTGCAGGAGGGATTGCCAGTGCCACCCAATGCTCCAAGGTGGGATTTGCACTGGATGCTTCCAGCCAGCCAGGTGAACCTTGGAGGTGCCTAAGGTATGTGGCTCACGGGTGCAAGTGCAGCCTGTCACTAGCTGCCTGGCTAACGGTCGAAGGCATGGTGCAAAGCCTGCGACCAACTGCTTAAGTCAATGCTTTCTTGGGCCTTTTTCATGCGTGTTATTTGCATGGTATGTTTATGGTTGCATGGTGTGTCTATGGATGCATGTATGTGTATGGTATGTGTATGCATGTGTGTGTGCGGGGGTACATGCATTCATGGCTGATTGGCTGACTGCATGCATACGTGGTGCACATTCGCAGGAAGGTGGCGAGTGAGTCGCGCATGGAGCGCATTCGAGCCGAGGCAGAGGCGCAGTTCGCCAAGCAGCAGGCACAGGCGCTGGAGAAGACTCTGGAGGAGGAGGTGAGAGGAGAGGGCGCCTTTGGTACTCAGGCTGGTAAGCAATGCTTGAGTGTGGTTGGCATGCTTCCGCACAGTGCAGAGGCACAGTTCGCCAAGCAGCAGGCACAGGCGCTGGAGAAGACTCTGGAGGAGGAGATGAGACATGAGAGCGATACAGTGGTGAGATTGTGTGATTGTGCTTGTGTCATTGTGTTCTCTGAGGTGAAAGGATACGGCCTACACCCGTGGCTTTTGAGTCAAAAGGTCTGCGGCGCTTTCCTCAGCTCCCTCCCCCTTTTCCTCCCTCCCTCTTTTCAGCACAAGGTGAAGGACGCAGCGGTGGCGCGCAGCAGCGAGTTTGCGGCGTCAGTGACGGGGCATCAGAGGCAGCTGCGAGACGCTGAGAGGCTGCTGGCTGCTGCAGAGGAGAAGGCCACGCGTGCTGCCATTGAGGTGAGAGTTTTTTTAGAATTCGAATAAATCACCTGCACCATGAAGGACTTCAGCAACCTAGATTTCTCATGCTTGTGGCTTCCTGAAGGAATCTCAATCAGCCGTCGAAGCCACTTCCGGGAATTTTTGTGTGTTTTTTGGAACCACTGATCTATGCCAAGGCGTGCCTGCTCGCTCTCTCGAGTGCTCTCTTACTTGTTCCTTGCCCCTCCCTTCCTTATCAGGCGTCGGTGCTGGAGCGTGAGAAGGCGCTGCTGGCAACAGCAGAGGCGAGGGCAGCAGCGGAGGCGGGGAGTGCGCTGGAGCGGATGCACCGGCTGCAGGCGGCGCATGACTCGCTGGAGAGTACCCAGGCCGCCAGGGAGGCCACGTGGGCCGCTGAGAGGAAGCGGCTGGAAGACTCCGTTGACCGCATGCAGGTGGGTGGGCGTCGACTCCGTTGATTGCATGCAGGTGGGTGGGCGTCGACTCGGCTCGGCTGACTGTTCATTTTCTGCGCGTTGACTGCTTGCTTTTTAGGCAGCACATAACCACTTGCGCCAGCTAACGAAGTCAAACATCTTGTTGTTTTTTAAGTCGACTCAAAATACAGCCAGACACCTTCTCTCATCCACGTGAATGGACTGAAGCCAGCCGTGCATGTGAGGCAGAATGGGACCATTTGCGCAAGCTGGTGAAAGTCAGGGACCAAACGTTCTCCCTCCGTACTACTTCCCTCCCTCATCTCCACCTCATTCCGATTCCCCAGCGCGAATGGACTGAAGCCAGCCGTTGATTTTGCAGGGTGTTTTTGAGAATTCTCAAAAACACCCTGCAAAATCAAGGACTTCCCTCCCTCATCTCCACCTCATTCCGATCCCTCACCGCGAACGGACTGAAGCCAGTCGCGTCGCACCCTGGAGGCAGAGCAGGGCCACTCTCGCCATAGGCCAAAGACGGAGCCGCAGCAAAGGCTGAAGCAAAGCTGAGTGCGGCGTGGAAGGAGGTGGAAGAGGTGAAGAGGTGAAGAGGAGGCCAGGGACAAGGCGGCCTTCCTTCCTCCCACCATCCCTTATCTCTCTTTTCTACCTCATGTCACTCCCCTTCGTCTTCCCTTGCAGCGCGAATGGACTGAGGCCAGCCGCGCCCTGGAGGCAGAGCGCGACCACTCGCGCCAGCTGGTAGAGGCCAGGGACCGAGCGGCTGCCGATGCGGAGGCAAAGCTGAGTGCCGCATGGAAGGAGGTGGAGCAGGTGAAGGGGCAGCTGAGTGCCGCCACCACCAAGGCCAAGACCGCTGAGGCGCGCTGTGAGGAGCTGCAGGCGAGCGTCAAGCGCATGGAGACGGTGGCTGCTGCTGCTGTTGCCGGTGGCGGGGGTGGGGTGGGAGGTGGGAGGGGGTTGCGATCGCCGTCAGTTAAGGTGGCGGCTGGAGCTGCTGCTGCTGCGGCTGCTGTTGCGGGTGGTGGTGAAGATGCTGCGGCACCTGGTGCAGCTGGTGATGCTGCTGGTGCTCCTGGTGCTGCTGCTGATGGTGCTGGCAAGGAGGGAGAGGCAGTGGAGGGGGAGGAGGTGGAGGAGCGGCTTCAGAGGGCGGAGGAGGAGGTGCAGCGGCTCAAGGAGGAGCTGGAGGCGTCTCAGGGATACCTGGCGCAGGTATGTGCTTGGGGTTCTATTTTGAGTCGACTCAAAATACATCTGGCGCAGGTATGTGCTTGGGGTTCTGGCTGTGTCAGCATAACAGCCGTTGATGGCGCTCGGGAGCGATTTTCTTGTTTGGGGTTCAGCATTGCTCTTGTCTTTGTCTCGTTTTCTTATATAAGTTCCGTTCCCGGTGCTATTGTATCTGCTTCCATGCCATGCATTGTCCCCCTTATTGCCCACTCACTACCAGTACAAGGCGACTGGAAAAGCCAACGAGGAGGCGCTAAAGCGCATGATGCAACAGCACAGCGCGTTGAAGGAGGGCGTTGAGATATAGTAATACAACCTCCCATTCCTTCCCCCTTGTCCGCGTGTGCTCTCCTGCCCACTACCAGTACAAGGCGATTGGGAAGGCGAACGAGGAGGCGCTAGAGCGCATGATGCAGCAGCACAGCGCGTTGAAGGAGGAGGCGGAGAAGGAGCGGGCGGCAGCGGCAGCAGCAGCGGAGGAGCTGAGAGTGAAGCTGAGGGAGGCGGAGAAGGGGGCGGCGGATGCGGCTGCTGCTGCGGCGGGGCTCATGGTGGAGCATGAGAAGGCGTTTGCGGACGTCAGCAGGAAGCTGGACGCCGCTGCGGTGGAGAGAGACGCCTTCAGGTGAGTGGGTTGGGGTGGGGTGGTGGGTGCGGCGTGGTTTAGGGTGGGCGAGGTGGGTGTGCAAGTTACGACAGCCGTTTGCTGTCTCTGGCGGAGAGGCCTGGTGCCCCTCGTCGTAGTGTCCAGGGCAGTGCACTATCATGTGCTAGCGCTTCCCTAAGCCCCTCCCTGTGCTCCCTGTGCTCCCTGTGCCTGCATGCACCTGCTCAGGTCGCGGGTGGAGGAGATCGAGTGGCGCGTGGAGTCAGAGGCCAAGGAGGCGTCGGAGATGCGGCAGAAGTGGAGGGAGGCACAGACTAACTACGAGCGGCAGGTGAGCACAGCCTGATCGCACGGACTTGGCCATTCATGTGTTCGTGTTTGGGGCCTTCTTCATAGCCCCATCGGTGGACGCAGCTGGGACCTGCAAACCATCCCTTCCCTACTTCCGTTTCCCCTTCCTTTTCCATCTCTTTTCCACCTCCTGTTGCACCCCCCCCCCCCCCCAACACACACACACACACCCCTCTGGTGCACCTCTCATATCCCCCCACCCACCTCTCTGCTCCAACCAGGTGGTGCTGCAAGCGAGCAGGCGCCAGTTGTATTTGAGTCAACTTTATATTCTTCATCCCTCCCCCCTCCCCCCTCCCCGCCTCTCTTGCTGTGCCCCACCCAGGTGGTCCTGCAAGCAGACACCATTCGCCAGCTGGACAGCGTGAGTCAGTCGCTCAACGCCGCCCAGGCGGGGCAGAGGGAGTGGCGCAGCAAGGCCGTGAGGGCTGAGGCGGAGCTGGCGTCCCTGCGGGCCGAGTGGGAGACAGTCAAGGGCGGGCTGGAGGTCGCACGTGCTGCTGCTGAGAGCAAGGCGAAGGAGGTGGAGGGGCAGAACGCGATTCTGCTGGACCGGCTTGAGGCGCTGCGAGTGACTACGCCGTCCAAGGGCGGAGCTGGAGTGGCCTCGCCGCCGGGTGGTGGTAGGAGAGTGGGGGTTGGCGCTTCCCCGTCCCCGGCTAAGGCGCCTGGGGCAGCACCAGGAGGGACGGGAGAGGCGGGTGGAGGAGTGGGTGCAGGCGTGGGAGCAGCAGCAGCAGCAGGTGAAGGGGAGGAGGGAGAAGGAGAAGCAGGAGTGGGTGGAGTGGGTGAAGGAGTGGGGGAAGATGCAGGGCTGGCTGAACTGCAGGAGGTGGTGCGCTTCCTGCGGCGGTCCAAGGAAGCTTCCGAGATGGAGCTGGCCCTGCTGAAGCAGGAGCGGCTGCGGCTGACCAAGCAGGTGGAGGCGGCAGAGAGGGAGGCGCAAGAGGCTCAGCAGCAGCTCAGGGACGAGCGGACAAAAGGCGCTGCCACGGCCCAATCCGAAGGCGAGTTCGCGGCGCTTAAAGCCCAGGTCGCACAGGTGAATCTGTTAAGGGAGAGTAACGCCATGCTGAGGGACGAGAACCAGAGGAACTTTGCGGATGCGAGCGAGTGGCGGGAGAAAGCGCGGGAGGCGCAGCAGCAGGTGGGGCCGCTGCAGGCCGCGGTGCAGAGGAGGGAGGCGGAGGTGGCGGCGGGGAGGAGGGAGGTGGAGGCGGCGCGGGAGGAGGCCGGCCGGTGGCAGCGGCGCGTGCAGCAGCTGCTGGAGAAGTACAAAGCGATCGATGTGGAGGAGTATCAGCGGCTGCAGGACGCGCTGCAGGTCAAAGAGGTGAGAGGGGTCAGGGGTTCAGGGCATGAGGCTATGAGGTAGGGCATGAGGCTATGAGGTAGGGCATGAGGCTATGAGGTAGGGCATGCGTGTTGCGCTCAAGGGTGCAGCAGCTGCTGGAGAAGTACAAGGCGATGGACGTTGAGGAATATCAGCGGCAGCAGGACCAGCTGCAGGTCAAAGAGGTGAGAGGCTTATGGGGGATACGAGGCTTATGGGGGATACGAGGCTTATGGGGGATACGAGGCTTATGGGGGATACGAGGCTCATGGGGGATACGAGGCTTATGGGGGATACGAGGCTTATGGGGGATACGAGGCTTATGGGGGATACGAGGCTTATGGGGGATACGAGGCTTATGGGGGATACGAGGCTTATGGGGGATACGAGGCTTATGGGGGATACGAGGCTTATGGGGGATACGAGGCTATGAGATAGCGTACATGTGTTGCCTTCACAGCGTGCAGCAGCTGCTGGAGAAGTATGAGGCGATCGACGTTGAGGAGTATCAGCGGCTGCAAAACCAGCTGCAGGCAAAAGAGGTGAGAGGCTGCTATGGGATGCAGGCTCTAGGGTAGGATATGCGTGTTGTCGTGAAACACAGCAGCAGCAGGTGCTGGCGAAGTACAAGGCGATCGATGTGGTGTGGAGGAGTACCAGCGGCTGCAGGACCAGCTGCAACTCCAAGAGGTGAGAGTCTGGGGCTTGTATTCTGGGCTCCAGCTGACAGCAGGACGGTTGGATTACAGGGTCCCGTTTGGGTGGTAGGCCTTCCGAGCAGAAGCGGGCGGAGCAGCTAGAGCAGGAGCTCTTAGAGGCGAGGGCTGTAGTGCCTGTTATTACTGCCTAACCATGGCGTTTTTCACATGTCGGACTGTCTTCTTTCTGTCCGAGCAGAAGCAGGCGGAGCAGCTAGCACAGGAGCTCTCAGAGGCAAGGCCTGGAGTTCCTGTTAGTACTGCCCTAACCATGGCCTTTTCAACATGCCTCTTCTCTCTCCTACCTAAGCAGAAGCGGGCGGAGCAGCTAGAGCAGGAGTTCTTAGAGGCGAGGGCTGGAGTGCCTGTTATTACTGCCTAACCATGGCATTTTTCACATGTCGGACTGTCTTCTTTCTGTCCGAGCAGAAGCGGGCGGAGCAGCTAGTGCAGGAGCTCTCAGAGGCAAGGGCTGGAGTTCCTGTTAGTACTGCCCTAACCATGGCCTTTCCAACATGCCTCTTCTCTCTCTTACCCAAGCAGAAGCGGGTGGAGCAGCTAGAGCAGGAGCTCTCAGAAGCAAGGGCTGCCCTGGCAGCAGCAAAGGCGGCTGCAGAGGCTGCAGAAAAGGACAAGGAGGTCGAGAAGAAGCGGGCAGCTGCTGAGCTGGCGAAGCTGGAGGCGCAGCGGGCGGCACTGGGTGCAGAGAAGGAGAAGGTGGAGAAGGAGCGGTCGGCAGGTGTGGAGGAGCTGAAGAAGCAGCTGGAAGTGGCAAAAGAAAATGAGGTGAGTTATGAGCCGATTCACAAGAGAACGAGGTGAGGGGTTGGAGAATTGACTGCTGACTCGACTCATAGGAGCGGTCAGGGGAGATTCGTAGGAAACTTCCGGCGTTTACCCGTTTCACATCTTGTTCTTCCCGCCGTGTTGTTCGTCGTGTTGGATGCATCTATGTGTTTGTTCACACTTCCTTCTTGTCTGGCGTTTTGGTTGTGAGCGCGATGTGCATGTTCTGGCTTTCTGGTGCTGTCTGGCAGGCGAAGCACAAGACGGAGTTTGGGAAGCTGAGGAACACCGCCATCAAGTTCAAGGTGCGGTTTGTTTCGATCCTGAAAGCGCGGGATCCCTTGATTGAAATCCGAAATAGAATTGCCGAGATTCGGGTGGCAGCCTTGCCCGTTTGACATCCCCACAGTCGACCTCCAGGGGCTTAACCTGTTAGCATCGGACATACCCGTCTGTTTGTCTGTCTGTCTTTCTTCCCAACATGGCTGCGCACCAGCGAGCAGCTGGCAAAGGAGAAGGGGGAGCTGAAACAGGCCAAGGAGTGTGTAGAGGTGCCTGAGTGCAAGTCTGGTCTGTCCCTAACTGTGTGTGTGTGCTCTATCTCCGTATGCAGCGCACCAGCGAGCAGCTGGCAAAGGAGAAGGGGGAGCTGAAACAGGCCAAGGAGCAGCAGAGCAAGGAGGCAGAGGAGGCGAAGAAGAAGGCAGCAGAAGCGGAAAAGCGGGTTGGGGATCTCGAGAAAAGACTCCAGGAGCAGACTGCAGCGGCTGCTGCAGCAGTTAAGAAGGCGGAGGAGGGGAGGAGTGCAGCAGAGGCAGCCACTGGGAAGCAGCAGGCGGCTGTGTCTGCAGCAGCCGAGGCAGCAGCATCGGGACGGAGGGAGTCTGAGGGCATTCTGAACTCCAGGATTCAGGTAGGGCTTTAATCCTTGTTACCAGAGAACGCTTGGGGGTTGATCCCAAGCATCATTGGATCTCATGTGCCTTTTTTATAAGTGTGCTGTCTGTCTCTTACTTCCCCCTCCCCCCACCCGCCTCCCCCATCCCGCGCCCCTCTTTTGTGGCGTTCCCACCTGCATGCGCGTGTGCAGCTGCTGCAGAGGCAGCTGGCAGCGGAGAAGGAGAGGCGGACCAAGAACCTCAAGAGCATCGTGGACTCTTTCCAGAGGGCCAAGGAGGTGCGTGTGAGAGCTCTATGGGCTAAAGGTGGGTGGGAGGGAGATGGGATAAGAACCTCCAGAACATCCTGGACTCGTTTCAGAGGACGAAAAGGTGAGTGGATGTGGGGTGCTAAGTATCCCTTCTGGACCTGAAGCATGCAATGCTAGCTTCTGCTTTGTGCTTCACAAGGTATACATCCCGGGAGCATCCTCTATTGTCCTTTTCTTTCCGCCTGTGTGCAGAGCTATGATACCATTTCAGTAAGGGTGGTGGCTGTAGAGGACTGGATCAAGCAGCAACGCCAGGTAAGATATGGCCTCCCCTTCCCCTCCCCCCCCCTTCCCCCCAACCCCCCTTTTTATTCGCTCCCTATAATTTCCTGTCTCCTTGACAACAACCCCCTCACTCAACCATGCATCCTTTCACTCTCTCTGCCTCTCGTGCCATCATGCATCCTTTCTCCCTCTCTTCCTCTCGTACCCTAGGATTGTACAGAATCGCATCCCCACAATCACACCCACTTCTGTGACACGCACACCCCTCCTGTCCCCTTCAGGAGAAGGGTCCAGGCTTTGTGGAGCCTGCAGTGGTATCAGAGCTGAGAGCAGCCTCTCAGGAGTATGATGCTGTGTTCGGTGCCATGCAGAAGACAGCGCAGGCTGGGGGCGTTGTGCCTCCAGCTATTCCTGCTGCTGCTGCTGCTGCTGCTGCTCCCTCTGCTGCCCCTCCTCCTGCTGCTGCTGCTCCTTTTGCGGCTGCTGCTTCTGCTGCTGCTCCTACCACTGCTCCTGCAGCTGCTGTTGCTCCTGTCGCGGCTACTCCTGCTGCTGCGGTTTCAGTTGTGCCCGCTGCTGCTCCTGCTGCCGCTGCTCCAGCCCTTGCTGTCCCTGTTGCTGCTGGTGCTGCTCTTTCTGCAGCCGCAGCAGTATTTGCACCAGCTGTGGGCGCCCCAGCTCTCCTCCCCACACCGCCTCTTCTTCCAACTCCTGCCCTTGCTGCGGCTCCGGCTGTTTCTGCAGCCCCAGCTGTTTCTGCAGCCACCCTAGGTGCTGAGGCGAAGGTTGCAGGAGGGGAGAAGGCGGGAGGAGCAATGGAGGTGGAAAGGGCAGCTGGTGGGGTGGGTGGGTTTGAGGAGAAGGGGAAGAGGAAGAGAGAGGCAGAGGAAGTTGCGATGAAGGAGGAGGCCAGTGAGGAGGGGGAGGTGAAGGGCTTGGCTGAGAAGAAAGCTAGGCCTCTGCAGCCCACCCCTGTGGCTGCTGCTGCTCTTGCTGCCGGTACCACGGCTGCTGCTCCTGCCACTGGTGCTGCTGCCGCCACTGCCACCACCACTAGTGCTACCACCACCACTAGTGCTGCCACCACTGCTGCAACTACCACTAGTGTTGCTGGTGTGCCCCCCACGTCCCCACTCCGTGCTGCTGCTGCACCTCGCTTTGCCAGCGACCCCAGCAAGCTGCGTGCCATGCTCATGCAGTCGATGGCCCGGGCCAAGGCCGCTGCCCCTGCTCTACCTACAGCTTCAGCTGCCCCTAGTGCTGCTGCTCCTGCTGCTCCTGCTGCTCCTGCCGCTGCTGCTGCACTGCCAGCAGCTGTTTCAGCAGCTGCGACTCCTGCTGCTGCTCCTGCTGCTGCTCCTGCTGCTGCTCCTGCTGCTGCAACTGCTCCTGGTGTAGTTGCTGTTTCTCCTCTCCCTCTGACTCCAGTGGCTGCGGAGGCGGAGGGAGAGGGGGAAGGCGGGGAGGAAGGCGAGGAGGGTGGGGATGGGGGAGAAGGAGCAGGAGGCTCTGCTGGTCGAGGGGGGGGGAGGGTAGGTGCAGGCAGGGGAGGGCGGGCTGTGAAGCACAGGCGGATCATGCGGCCCTCTTTCGGGGGGACAGCAGGAGGAGCAACGACGGGAGCAAGTGCACCTGTGGCACAGGATACGCCAGCCACATCTATAGCACCAGCTGTAGCACCGGCTGTAGCAGCATCCCCTGCAGCACCGACCACGGCGGGCCTGGCAGCAGCTACTGTGACAACTGGAGCTCCTGCAGCCTTGCCAGCTGTTGCCACTGGAGCTGTTGCTCCTGCTGCTGCTGCTCCCCCTCCTCCACCTGCTGGTGCTGCCGCTTCTGCCACCCCTGCAGCTCCTGCTGCTGCTGCTGCACCTGCAGCGCCAACCGCTGTTGCAGCAGTACCTGCTGAACCTGCAGGCGAGGCAGTGGCTGCTGCTATGGAGGTTGAGAGCGGGGTGCCAGAGCAGGGGGCAGCAGGGTCTGGTGAAACAGGCCAAGCTGGTCAAGGGATGGGGGTATTGGACCAGGCAGGTGACGCAGCAGCAGGAGAAGCAGCAGAGAAGGAGCACCAGGGAGAGCAGGGAGCAATTATGGAGGTGGAGGATGGGCAGGTGGGTGGGGCAGGGATGGGGGACGAGGGGCAGGGGCAGCAGGAAGGAGCAGCTGAAGTCGCAGCAGCAGAGGGTGGAACGGGTAGTGCAGGTCCTGATGAACTAGCTGCCCCTGGTCCTGATGCTGCTGGTGCTGCTGGTGCTGGTGTAGTGGCTGGAGCCAGTGAAGCTGCTGCTGCTGTTCTCGCCACTCCTCCCCGCTCACCAACCCCTCCATTGACCCCAACAGGAGCAGGTGACTCTGCCTCACTGCTGCCTGGGGAAGGGGCGCCCGGGGAAGATGCACCTGCGGTAGGGGATGCAGGCGCAAGTGGCGAAACCACAGGGGCAGGGGAGGGAGGTGGGTTGGTACCAGGGGATGCAGGTGGGGCAGCAGGGGCAGCAGAGGCAGCAGAGGTGCCTGAGATTCACGTGGAGGGTCTTGGGGAGGACGAGGAAGGGGGGGAGCACGGAATGGGGGATGGTGGTGAGGAGGGGTATGAGGTCATGGGAGATGGAGCAGAGGGGGAGGAGGAGGGTGGGCATGAGGATTATGAGGGGGAGGGTATGTTCGATGGGGAAGGGGAAGGGGAGGGGGGAGGGGAGGGGGGAGCGGGGGATGAGCAGGATATGGCGGATGTGGGGGAGGAGGGGGGTTTGGAGATGGAGGGTGGGGAGGAGGAGGGTAAAGCAGGGGATGCAGTGCAGGAGGCTGGTGGACTTGTGGGTTCCGGTCCTATTGCTGCAGGAGGAGGAGGAGGAGGAGGAGGAGCAGCAGCAGAGGCAGGTGGAGGGGCTCCAGCACCTGCTGCAGCACCTGAAGGCACACCTGAGAGTCTGACACCTGCTGTTGATCCTGAGGATGGCTCTGCTGCTGTGCCTGGCACCCCTGCTTCGCCTGCTGTAGCTGCTACAACTGGCTCTGCAGATGTTCCTGCTGCCTCTGCTGCCTCTGCTGGTACTGCTGGTGCTGCTGCAGTGGAGGGGGCAGCACTGCCGCATCAGCCAACGGGGATGGCAATGCGAACCCGGAGGTCCACAGCCGGGCTGCGAGGCAGGGCAGCAGCGGCAGCAGCGGGTCGCGGTGCGGGTGGAAGCGCAGGTGGTGGGGATGCACAGGCAGGGGGGGAGGCGGGTGAAGGGGGTGCGGCGGCTGGAGGGGAGGCGGCGACGAGAGCAGCAGCCCGACAGGCGCGGTTCGGCTCTGCGATTTCTCCGCGCCGCGGCCGAAGCACCAGGGTGAGGCAAACGACACATAAGTGACGTGTCATGTGCGCTGGCTTTCCTTTAATGGCCGGTCTGCAGTTTCTTGCCCAGATGAGCTCTGCTGGCTGGGGGCCTGTTCCTACCCTGTGTTACTGATTTCCCGGTTGTATGTTGAGCTTCCTTGCTGCCCCGCATATTGTCATTCACAACACATGCTCACTGTGTTCAGGGCCGAGGGACACGAGTGATCAGCCTGGTGCAGACAGGAGGACGGGGCGTGGCCAGCCCACGCGGGCGCGGTCGGGGCAGGGGCGCGTCAGGTAACATGACTCTTATTTTTCAAACCACGCATGTTTTTGGTTGGCCCAGTTCCTAGAGAGCCTCCATGCTTATCGCGCTCTGAAGACAATCTGCTATGCTATATGTGTGCATGTGCTTGTTTGTTGCCTGTGCAGGGGGGTCTCCGTCTGCTCCACCTGGGGCAGGTGGTGCTGCTGGAGGAGCCGGACCTGCTTAAGTGGGTAGATAACTCGGGCTATTAATTGATTGTGCTTTTATGTGAAAGGAATTTCGACTAAAATGAGGAGGTAACATTATTCATTTTTGCCGAGCCGCTTGTTATCGAGAACTGCGAGCTTCCCTTACAGAACCACCTCCCACCTGTCGTTCGGTCTCGTCGCAGCGTCGCAAGCAGCGCGTGCGATTCGACGGTTCGCCTACTCTTGATCGCATAGCAACAACCGACTGGGCGACATCTTGTCAAACGAACCTTCCAGGCTTTCAAGGGCTGGGTTTCCCCACCATCTGACCAATAAGATCGCTGTATCAGTCGAATTTATTTCCCTTACGATTGGAGATCGGTGACTCTTCGCTGCAGCGCGTCCCGCGTGTGAGCCCCACGTCACCCTTTAATTCCGGCAATGTCATGAGGCTGATGGCTCGCTGGCACACAGACCCACGCGACTGCGCTAATCTGCGCCGAAAATCCTTGTCAGCCGCCACCAGGCAAGCAAGACGCGCTGCGGCCCTAGCCATTGGTAGCTGGCTGTTTGGAAAAAGGTTACTCTCGGGCATGGCAAATTTTGCGGGGAGCAAGCAGCACCAGTGGTTTGTGAAGTTGCTCAGCCCCCTCCGTCAGCCAATCGACAGCCCCTTCCCCAATGTCCAGGAATTCGGCGATGCCCGTCGAAGCGGTCAGGTTCGAAAGAATCCGGTACAGGGGATGGACTCTGAATGCATCCATGTTGAATGTGGGACACGGGCAGAGGATGAACGGGCAGATGGGATGCCCCGCACACAACACACACAACACAGTAGGCCGCCACCAGACGAGACGCGGAGGGGGCGGGCAGCCACGAATGCGCAATGGCATGCAGCAGGAACCTGCCCTGACACACCTGCACATTGGGCACTACAGTCCTACTGTGCTGTATCCTGAGGGAATACCAACCACCACCCAACCATCCAGCCTTGCAGGAGGAACCGCGGGTGGGGTAAGGGCAGTGTGATGTGGATATTTATACCACAGCGCCTCCCCCAACAGGTGTTGCTCAGAGTTTAGGGACACCCTGTTCTGCCCAGCTTTTACAATAGTTTCGCTCACGCTCCCATGCTCTACGTTGATCGTCGTTCCCTGAATTTTATTAGCTGTCTATTCCTTAGCATCCGTATTTTATTCTTTGTTATTTCATTCCCGAAAGCCCGTCGCGTTTTGAGCCGCCATGATTAACTACGAGAAGAGATTCGGCGCGTTTAATCTCCTATTGAGATTCTACGGCTCGCAATGGCCGCGAGCGACGCTGCTCGCCCTCCCCAGCGCCATTCTCGCGGGCCTTCTCTCCGCGTACGTCTTCGTCGATAAATCACAGCACCTCTTCCTCCACCCTTACCCCTGTAAGCTCCCCTCCCTCCCTCCCTCCCTCCCTCCCTCCCTCCCTCCCTCACTCCCTCCCTCCCTCCCACCCTCCCTCCCTTCCTCCCGCCTCGCTCCCTGTCACCGCCTCCCTCCCTCCGTTACGACTCAATATGAGATACAACGTCTTGCCTTGCATCACCGCATTCTCCGCCTCCTTCCCTATGAGCTCCGACGAGTTGATTCCTCCGGTTCAGCGTCGGAGGCTCGCTCCGACGTGCCAGTGCTAGTGCCATTTGCGCGGTGGAATGATGCAGCAGCAGTCGCTCCGGCTGTTTCCTGCGCGAGTCGGCGCTTAGCGGCGCGGCGGCCTGATTTTGTGTCTCCATTTCGTCCCCCGTGCCGCAGATGCCGTGTTCAGCGGCGTGGTTGCTTTCATTCTCATCTTCCGGACGAATCTCAGCTACGCGGTAAGCCCGCCCGCTCGACGTATGGACCAACAAGCCGACGGATTCCGCAGGACACGGAGCAAACGATTTCCGTTCCGAGAATCGTTGGAAGAACCCTGACCAGCCGCTGCTCGTCAGCGCCGTCATTTTTCACGCTCATTATTCTCGTTGGGAAAGACGCCGCTGGTTTTCGATGAAGACTCTTTACGGCGCTGTCGATTCTCGTTCCGCTTTTCGATTTTGAGTAATTCTAGTTTTGAGGCGCCTCAAAAATAATTCTAGTTTTGAGTAATCCTTGTGATTCCGGTTCTTTACTCTCGAGTGATTCTCACCGCGGCATCTCTTATTCCGTTGCTTCTGCTCGTCGCGCAGAGATACTGGGAAGGCCGAACTATGCTCGCGCAAATGAGGTTCGTCCGCCGCCCGTCGCACGCCTCCACGCCTTGTCGCATTTTGCGTCCCTCATTCTGCCGCTCCGCCGTCCCTCATTCTGCCGCTCCGCCGTCCCTCATTCTGCCGCTCCGCCGTCCCTCATTCTGCCGCTCCGCCGTCCCTCATTCTGCCGCTCCGCCGTCCCTCATTCTGCCGCTCCGCCGTCCCTCATTCTGCCGCTCCGCCGTCCCTCATTCTGCCGCTCCGCCGTCCCTCATTCTGCCGCTCCGCCGTCCCTCATTCTGCCGCTCCGCCGTCCCTCATTCTGCCGCTCCGCCGTCCCTCATTCTGCCGCTCCGCCGTCCCTCATTCTGCCGCTCCGCCGTCCCTCATTCTGCCGCTCCGCCGTCCCTCATTCTGCCGCTCCGCCGTCTCCGGAATTCTTCCGCCGTCTCCGTTATTCTGCCCTTTCCGCATTCCTTCCCCGTCGCGCCTCTCGCCGCGTGTTTCCACGCGTATTGCCACACCCGTGCCTTCCTTCCCTTTCATCGCTCTCCCTTACAACGCTCTCTCTTTCCGTGTGTCTCTCTTTCCGTGTGTCTCTCTTTCCGTGCTTCTCTCTTTCCGTGCTTCTCTCTTTCCGTGCTTCTCTCGTTCTAACTGCGCAGCTCTAAATGGGGAGACGCCGCAATTCAGGTGAGCCGTTCTCGTTGCAAAGCGCTTCTTTTCTCTCTCTCTCTCCGCCTTTCCAGCCGTTAAATCTCGCTGATCCATGCCGCTGCACCAGCCGTTTACGTGCCCTGGCCATTGCTGTCGTGACTTCTTCTACTCACATGTCTGCCCTCCCTCACTCTCTCTTCCGTCCCCTTTCCGCCCCCTTCAGGTCATTTCGTTCGACGAGGGAGCCAAGGAGCCGGTGCCAGGCGGGATTCGATTCCGGTCAGAGTTCGTTCATACCATGAGCCTCATGCACGCACTAGCGCTGCAGGTAGGATGCATGCTCTTTGCGCACTAGCGGAAGTCGTTCATCCGTGACCCTGCCCGCCTGCCTTGGTGCCGCGACTAGCACCGTGAATTTCCCATGAGCCCCGCAATTCTGGGAGCTTGCAAGTATGCTAGACGTTTTCTGACGCGCTCTAAGCTGCATTCTTTTACTTTCCTTAGCCTCATCGCCTGTGCTGCTGCTTGTCCCTTGCCCCCTATCCCTTGCATCGCCTTGATATCTGTGTGGAGCAGAGACTAAGGGGAGACTCCCACCTCACCAACCTAACTTATGGTGCGTGCTGCTGCCCGTTACTCCGCCCGTTCCTGTCATTTTCAGCCGAGCACTATGCTTGCTTGCGCGCAATTCCCGACTCCCGGCTGGCTTCATTGCACATCTCGTGGAAGCAAGCACGTGCCTTGAGTATTAGGAGTCCATTCTTCGTCAATCGACTGACGCACGAGTTGCCATCCCCCACTCCCCTCTAATTACTCTCTCTCGCTCTCTCCTTTCTCTCATGCAGGTCGCTTTATGGACATCCCTCCCGAGCCCCCGGTGGATGCGGATCTGGTGGACGAGTGGACCCGAGTGCGTGGGAACAAGTGAGTGCTTCTGTGCTTCCCCATATGCATTCTTGCCCCAGCTTGCAACACCGTCTGCTTCTTCTACCGGCCGTGTTGAGCTTTGAGTCGACTCAAGAGTGCTTCTTCTGCTGGCCGTTCTAAGCTGAGCCGCCAGGTCTGACCACCCTTCCCCATGCTGCAAGTTTCCTGGTCCTAGCGAGCCTCCCCACCTCTACCACCCTTCCCCATGCCCCAGGTCCCTGGTGTTTTTGCGCGGCCATTACCCGCAGTGTAAGTACTGGCGAGCTCTGCCCCTGGCAACACGTCTTTTCCCTTAGCGGTTCTCAGTCACCCCCACACAAACCATCCTCCCTATGTGCAGGTTGCTTGTCTTACTGCGCGCCTATCGCCCTCATGTGGAGAAGTACTGGCGGGCTCTGCCCCTCGCAGTGCTTTCTCTCCTAAGCAACCCTCTCTGCGAACCCTGCCCCCCCATGTGCAGGTCGCTTGTCTTCCTTCGAGCCCACCGCCCGCACCTGGAAAAGTACTGGCGGGCTCTGCCCCTTGCAGTGCTGGGGGGGATCAACCTCACGGAGTGCAGCATCCTGGAGCCTTCCCGCGACCGCGTGTACCTGGTCATGTGCTGGCTGCACCGGGCGCTCGTGGCGCGGAGAATGGCGGGAGGGATATCGCAAGATGCCCCTATCGTGTCGAGAATATACCAAGTGCTGTCAGGTGCGGGCCTGAGCTCCCTCTGTCTACCCCTCTTCCTTCCGCTCTGCCTTCCTGTACCTATGTGTATCTGATCGTGTTTTGGCTGCACTGATTGTTCGTAACTCAACCTCCTAACCTTTCGTGCCCTTCCACCCCCCACTCTCCCCCCCCCACTCCATTCCCCTTTCCCTCCAGATGGCATGCTGGGATATGAGAATGCGCTCAAGATCGTGAACACGCCCTTCCCCTTCCCCTTCGCCCAGTGCGTGGCCCTGCTGCTCCACATCAACGCGCTCATCATCCCTCTCCTCATGGCGGACTGGCTCGCCGACCCCTACCTCGCCTCCGCAATCACTTCCTCTCCGTCTTCTCCTTCTACCTCCTCAACGAGGTGGCTCGGGAGATCGAAGAGCCCTTTCGCTTCGACCCGAACGACCTTCCGGTGGTTTATTTACACCACAAGTTTAATGAGAGGCTGGTAACCGCGTTTTCCAGGAGTTTGTTTCCTGCGGATGGGTTGTTTACGCATATTGACGAGAAGGAGATGGAGTGGCTCTTAGCTAAGCACCGTCCACTGACAGTGACTAAGCAGCAGGAGGAGAAAACTATTAAGGACTGTGTTATTGATGTGATGGGCGCCGCCGAGCCTGGCGGTAAGGTCGAGGACGAGGCTGACTCGGAGGGTGGGTGCTGTGGAGGCGCACCTGCTGCCGCCACAGCTGCTGCCACTGCGGCTGCTCAGCAGTTTCTCGCTGCTGCCAGCTCGTGTGTGAGTAGCGCTCGAGACTCCTTCCCAAGACTAAGATCCTGCTGACCAGGAGGATTCGTCTCATCTCATCTGGAGGAGCAGAAGAGGACTGGTGGCACTAGTCGGTTCAGGGGCACCAATGGCACCAGTAGGAGACCAGCTGGTAGCTGGTCTAGCATGAGCCTTCAGCAAGTTGAAGGTTGCTCTTGCTGCTCTAGCTGCTCTAGCTGCTCTAGCTGCTCAAGTTAGTCGAGCCCTGTAGGACTGTAGGAAATGGAAGGCTCAGTGAGGTGATAGGCCAGTCTCTTAGGCAGTGGCAATGACCAAATGGGTCATTGTTTCTCGTTTATTGGATGTTGCAATGTAACATTATGCCGTTCTAGCCATTCATCATCAGCTCAGCTCCTTCAATGCACTTTGGCTCCTTGCAGCCAAATCAGCACATGCTTCGCATGGTGCCATGCAGGCCCTCAGATTGGTTTTAAGTCATCCTGATTGCAGAGGACTACCCGTGGTTTTTTCCCTGAATTTTCAGAGGTCCCCAAACTTTTTTGCTTAGGGGTCAGGATTGTGTGGGACAAAAATGCTGAATGGACAGAGATAGATGGTTTTTTTTCCCTGATTGACAAAATGAAGAGGAAATTGAGAAGCAAGGAACTTTACTCGAAATTATCAAGATCGTCCACATTGTCACTACTACCTACACCCTACTCTGCCTCTTCTTCTACTACCTTCCCCTTCTTCGAGCCGTCTTGCTTGGCCTGAGGGGTGTTGTTGAAGGGCTTACGCTTCTTGTAAGCGCGCCATATCTCCACCACAGCATCATAGTCCGGGTCATAGTCTAACAGTGACATGCACATGAGGTCACTAAGCCTAGTATCTTTAAGGCTGCCACGCAGCCAGCTCTTAATCACATTCTGCCTAGAGAATCCGCGCTCGCACTCCACAGTGCTGAGAGGAAGCACTGCCACCGCCATCCACAGCTTCATCAGGTTCGGGCAAGAATCCTGCCAGTCAGGTGTCTTCAGCATGGCCGTGAGCCCAGCGTGACAGCTTCGGTCGGCCTGGGGAAGAGCAGCAATGACAGGGCAGAAATGAGGCAGCTCTCTCATGGCTGCACGCTTGTCAATGCTAGGAAGAATCTCCTCTGCCTCATCTGCACGATAAAGAGTAACAAGGGAGAAGAACCAGTCAAGGCACTGGGCCTTGTGTGCAGCTCTCTCCCAGTTAAGGGGCCAGAGGTTGACAGAGAAGAGGCGGCAGCCAGAGAGCTTCCCCAGATCACCCAGCCGCTCCTTCAAGTTCGACACCATGCCTGTCGCCATGGCCACACAGAGCCTCTGGCACGCGTCGTGATCGCCCTCCCCCAGATAACCGGGCAAGCGATCTTCATGCAGCACGAAGGTAAAGGAAGCCGGACGACCGTCGGAGTCAACCCCCTCAGCTGTGACCTCGCGAGAACCGCCCGGGCCGTGACGGGTGAGGAAGATGGTGAGACGGTCCTTCGGTCCCCCGCTGAAGTCTTCGGCGTCCCCATAACGGCTCTGCAGCAGGGTTGTTGTGCGGATGATCTGCGCGTGGACGGTCGAGTACTCTAGCTGAGGTTGGGGAGGGGAAGAGGGGGAGGGGAGGAAGGGAGGGGAACGTGTATATATACAGAACCAGGGTGGTTTAATAACGACTCATTGTCACAGTAAAGAAAAACTCACCTGACGCTTCTGGAAGGACTTGTTGAGGATGTTTAGCTGCTCCAGCACGTCAGCAAGGAACATGACAAGGAACCAGAAGCGGTAGCTTGTCACTATCCTGGAGAGCCGGGTATCAGTCCACTCCGAGAGCATGACGACGATGGCGGGTAGAACCTTGACTAACCTAATGACAGCCTCACCGCGGGAGAGCCATCGGATGTTATGAATGCCTTGATGTTCGAGGTTCGTCGAGGTGAAGATTTCCTGCAGGTCCAAGAAGCGCTGGTGCCATGGGCCGGATCGTCCGAAGTACTCAGCGAGCTCCTTGATGACATCGTCAATCATCTTGAACGCTGGCAAGGATTCCGCCGCTGCTTTAGCTGCCAGTGCCTCTCTGGAGGGTGGGACAAAATGAAAAAAAATTGGTACATGTTGGGCCTTGGGAGTGGGGTAATACACATTGCACATGTGGAAACCACCAGTGCACTTAACCCGAGGTACAGTAGCGGTAAACAACAACGCTCATCTGTGCGCAATACAGTGACACGACACCAAGTGCGGAATTTTCATCCGCAGCCGCGTCACAAGCCCAGCCTTCAACCCCATCATAACAGCAGCGCCATCGGTGCTTATGCCCACAACCCGCCGGAGGTCGACACCGATGGCGTTGATGTGAGACAGGAGTAGAGCGAGCAGAGAGGCAGCGTCGGCCTTGTCGACGCTCAGCAGGGCCAGGTATTCGCAGACGACTTGGTTCTCGCGGATGAAGTGCGCAAACACGATGAGGTGCTTGCCGCGGCAGCGGTCTGTGCTCTCATCGATGCTCAAGCCGATGAACGGGCTCCTCAGAAGGTGGTCCAACTGTGTTGTCTGCAGCCAAGTTGCCATGGACTGTGTGAACTCCCCGTACCCATAACTGCAGTAGCCAAGGGCATACAGATAATTAGTATGCTGAAATATGAACATTCGTCATGCATGATAGATGCATGCAAAACAAAATCAAACAACACACAAGAATACCTGTTGTAGTACGTGCCATAGGTCTGCTCGGGGAAGTGCTCGTGCCGACGTTGGCTGAGGTAGCGCACGAGCCTGATCCAGTTTTCCATCGGCTTGTTGCCTTTGCAGCAGAAGTAGAGCGCGTCAAGCAGCGCAGTCACATGTTCCTTCTCCAGGTCTGGGGCTTGAGGAAGCTGGTCGATCCGCATCTGGTTGGTTGCGTCCTGCAGTAGCGCCTGCTGCTTTGTCACGGCTAGGCGATGCTTGGCCGACCCCGCGTGCCTGTTGAATGCCTGCGACTGCACGTCCGTCAGCCCTGCGCCGCGTTTGCTGGCTTTCCCTCTGAGTCCTGCATGCTCAAGGCACAGACTGCATTTAAACGCATGGAATCCAGCGTCAGTCTTAACGATCATAAGCCAGGGAAACCGCTCGGACCACCGCGTATTAAACCTGCTAAGGGCTTCGCCGTAGACATCCTCAGGCGATCGAAACTTGTCGGGTGCAACGGTAGTGTCGTCGCCATCGCTGTCGTCATCTTCGCACATGGCTGAGGGGCGGGGCGTCGTCGGCTGACCGCGTGGGAATTTCCTTAGGGTGGATTGCCAGTATCGACCGCCAGGTTTCACGGGGGTGGCGGAACCTGGACTACAGGTAAAAGCATTAGCCAGGGATGGGCCTAGAATAGGCGTGGAATTCGGCTCGACAACACCTTGAGAAGTTGAGGCGACCGACTGCGAGGCGCATAGGGGGTTTTGTTCCATCGGAGGGTTACGAGGAGTCTTCGGAAAATTACCTAGCGTCGAAAGGAGCATGTCAAGCCCAGTGGGGGCTTCGGCACGGTGACTGCCGCTGTCGTCGCCATCGTCGTCCAATTCCACGTCGCCAGACTCAGGCATGTGGACGGGGCTCACTAGGGTGGTCGACGAGCTGAGACACACGACGGAGTGGTTGTAAAACAACGACACTGCGGGGGGAAGGTCACGCTGGGAGTGGCTAACGCAGTGGCTGTTTCTACCGTGGGAAGAAACAGATGAAGAAGACGCAGGGGGGAAAGGGAACGATGGCGAGGCACGAACACTTTGTCAGCCACGCACAGTTGGCTTCCTGTATTCCTGAATCTGGACCGAAACTAGCGCGGCGCATGCGCGTCGGCGTCGAACCGGAGTGTGGTGTTGAAGCTGGGTCATCATCGCTGGCGTACACGTGATTGGCTATTCAGGCAGCATTTACAAAGGCAACCGATCCACGCATGCAGGCAAACTGTGTGCTGGTCAACACTTTGAGAAGGACCAATGCCGTGAGGCAGCGCGACAACATGTGACTCAGCAAACAATGTCTGCAGGCGGAAACCTGGCAGTCAGGCCAGTTTTTTGGGGGAATATGCGCATATCGCTGTAATTCGGGGGGGGGACCCGCAAATCACGCCTTTGACAAAATCAGAACCCATGCTCGATACAAGTCTGAAATTTCAGGATCCATTACAAAAAAAAACTGACCTGATAGATATCCCTTACAAAAAAACCCTGAAATTTCAGGATATGCCAAAAACAAAACCCTAGCAAATCAGATATGGTACCCCTCAACACCCTGTTTTTTTCCTGAATCAGGAAAATTTTCCTGACTTCTGGGGGCCTGGTGCCATGCCATGCCGTGCCATGCCGTGGACTCCTGTAATTTGAAAGCCATCTCTCAGCTTTGACCTACCTGCCTGCCTGACCATCCACACAACTTCCCCTCACATGCAGGCTCTACAAAACCCAGCTACTTCTTACGGTAGCACCATCAAGCGTATAGCTATAAGGATACATGCAACCAGGCCTTCAGATTGGTTTTAGGGATGCTGATTGCTCAGGTTCGCCCATATGTGAACCTTGTTTTTCAGGGTCGGGTTTCGGACGTGGCATGTTTTGTCAGGCCAAAAAATACTTACGGTAAGACTGACCAATCTGTTATATAATTGTAGGCTTGGTAGGTGTTACTGAAACCTACTGTAGAAGGTACAACACCCCTCTTTGTATCCAGGCCCCCAAATTGGTTTTGGGCCTGTCTGATTCGTCAGAGTCCACTGCCTTCCCATGGTATGGGTGTCAGAGTTACCTCCTTGAAAAAGTCTGAAAAATCAGAGTAGCCTTCGATTTTTTGTCTGACCAATCGGAGTCATAGCCAAACTTTTGTATGAGCGTTTTTTATGGTTCTTCATTAAAGAATGCACTAGATTTCAATACATACACCGTATCAGTCAATATCCTGCATATCCTGCTGATGTGCTGCCGGCATATCATCATCTACTTTCTCTTTTCCCTTCCTGCTGCTACTAGCCTCGGGCAGGGCGTTGCTAAGGGGCTTCCTCTTCTTATAAGCCTGCCAGATGGTGACCACCTCTTCCTAGTCGGGGTCATACTCTAGCTGCGACATGCACATCAGATCTCCTAGCCTAGTATCCTTAAGAGCCCCCCGCAGCCAACTCTTGATGACGTTCTGGCGGGAGAACCCACGCTCGCACTCGACAGTGCTCAATGGAAGGACAGCCACCGTGACCCACAGGTTGACCAGGTTGGGGTAGCTGTCCCTCTAGTCCTGCGTCTTGAGCATGGCGCTCAGCCCCGCGTGGAATGACTTGTCCGCCTTGGGAAGCGCAGCAAGGACGGGGACGAAGTTGCGGAGCTCGCTCTGGGCTTTGCGCTTGTCTATACCTGCTC